GGAAAGGGCTTAAAATCAAAAATTTTAGGATCTTAACGCTTCAAACTCAACCACAAAACGACGACAAAACGTGGAAAATTTTCGAAATTTGAAAACGCGAATCCAAGGAATTAAATTTCAGCGAAAGGGCTTAAAATCAAAAATTTTGGGATCTTAGCCTTTCAAAGTCAATCGATTCACTCTGAAAATGACGAAAAAGGTGGAAAACTTTCGAAATTTGAAAAACGCGGAGCCAAGAGGCTGAATCTCAGGGAGAGGGCTTAAAATCAAAAATTTTGGGATCTCAACACTTCAAACTCACGAGTCGCAATCTCAAAACGACGAAAAAACGGGGAGAATTTTCGAAATTTGAAAAACGCGAAGCCAAGGCATTAAATTCCAGCAAAAGGGCTTAAAATCAAAAATTTTGGGATCTTAGCACTTCAAACTCACGGGATTCACTCCCAAAACGACGAAAATCGTGGAAAATTATCGAAATTGGAAAAACGCGAAGCCAAGAGGTTGAATCTCAGGGAGAGGGCTTAAAATCAAAAACTTTGGGACTTTAGCACTTCAAACGCACAGAATTCAACCCCAAACGGCGCCAAAATGTGGAAAATTTTCGAAATTTGAAAAATGCAAATCCAAGAAACTGAATCGCAGGGAAAGGGCTGAAATTCAAAAACTTTGGGACTTTAGCGCTTCAAACGCACGAAATTCAATCCCAGAACGACCATAAAACGCGGAGAATTTTCGAAATTTGAAGAACGCAAATTCAAGAAGTTGAATTTCAGCGGAACGGCTTAAAGTCAAAAAGTTTCGGGATCTTAGCCCTTGACTTCAAACGCACGAGGCCCAATCCTCAAACGATGGCAAAACGTGGAAAATTTTCGAAATTTGAAAACGCATATCGCAAACATCTTTGCCTTGCTTGGTTTCTTATTTTGGGGAGGAGGGGGACCCTAGTGGGAGGGATGTTATCGGACGCTCCAAGCTAGTAATCAATTATGGAAGTGTATCATCGGATGAAATCAGGATCGCACCAGTAACAGTCCTCACGTCAACCACAACACCTGGAAAACTTCTGAAACCAAGCGTACAACTGGGGTCATGGATTCTACCTGCCAGAAGCCTCGAAGCATGTTGTGGATGCAAGACTGATGGGCCACGACGATGTCCTGAGAGATCGCGGAAGCCATTGTAATTACTAGTAGCAAGCCGATCTTTTTCCCACTGCTCCCGAGTCCTCGGGGAAAAAACGTATGACGGGGTCGCGGATTGTGGGCTCATTGGTGGATCATTCTGATCCGACAAACGATGAATAGCAGGCACAGGCTGCGAAGAAGCCACTGACATCCTAGTTGGTTGCAGTGTCGCGGAGGATCCTGCTGATACTCTCGTAGCGGGTTGCTCGATTGACGCCGCTGACGCTCTGGTGGTGGGCTCCTCCATCGGCACCCCCGCTGATTGTCTTGACGACTGTTCCCCCGGTTCCGCTGATCTCCGGTGCGGCTGCGCGATCGGCGCCGATGATATCCAAGTCGGTTCCTCCATCGCAGCCGTTGAGTTTCTGATCCTTTCTTGTTCCATTTCTTGCGATCAGCTGTGATCGACTTAACGAACCAGCAAAGAACGCCGCATAATTGCGCTTGCGGCACGAGCCCTTCGCCTCCTCAACGATAGACTATCTTTTTTCCAGGAGCAAAAAGCCACTTGATATTTTCAAATAGAACTCATCATATGAAGCCTTTTCTCTCCTTCTATCGCAGCGTAGGCAGTATGATGTCCATTACCGTGGACCGTTCTTGGAAAACATTATTTCGATATTCGTCGTAAGTGTTGACAGAGCATGTGCACCGAGGACGAATAGCACGAGCACAAAATAAGCAAGCAATCGACAACTGGTACTCACTTTCTCCAAAAGCACCAACTACGCTACGTCAGACTGAAGTACAAGAAGCAAGGTAAAGTTCAGCAACTCAATCAAAATATGCTAAATGCGTTCTTCATCTTGCGAGGTCTCTCACCCTAATCTCGACTTGACCGAGGCTTCTTGGATGTGCAGTTCCAACCGATGTCGTTGTCTAGATCTCGACTATCCTCCTACGTTGTGTCCCTCTTTGTCGATAGTGTCTCTTGTCGGACACTCTCCGGCAAGCTCACGATCCTGTGCGACCGACCTTTTCACAATCACAACATCTCTCGAGCTTGTATATACTTTGGATATAGGCCACGCTGTTTCTCTTTCACACCAAAATATCCCTAATGTCTTTTTTACGGTATTAAGTCCTCACCGTATGTGCGACGCACAGAGTACAACAACACTTCAGGCGGACATCCAGACGAAGATTCTCGCGAAGCACAACAACTCTCTGGTATGCAATTGTTTTGAGAAAATGTTGAGCAGGGTTACTAAACATTTTGGTTCGTTGCTAAAAAACGATCAGCATTGCAGCTGCGAGGAGTTGTATAAAAGTAGAAAATCCAGGACGAAGATACTTGACATCATCAATTGAACCGTGTCTCCCAACTGAGTTATAAGCCGCCCCAAAAGTCATTGCCCTTAGACACTGCTGCAGTCTGCGTGGTCGCAAGGTCAATGATTTTGTTCTTAGTCTTCTTGCGCTTCTTCGCATTCTTTTTTGCCTCTACGTTCATCTCGGCTTTCGGATTCGTGATTTCCTTTAAGACTTGGCCAAAATTCCAGAATTGAACTACGCCATCATGTCCACATGATGCCACGACATCGGCATCCCATGGGCTCTGGGCCAATACCTCAATCGGCATTACAGCACTAGGCGCAGCGATTTCATCGTCTTCTTCCGCATCGACGTCTGGGTTGTTGTCGTCGTCTTCATTCATCCCCCTATTTGTGGCGCCTTCAGAAAGCTCGTGTCCAATCGCGCTACGCCCACGACGAGAGCCGCCGCCGTGATATCCTAGCTTGGCCACGACGCGATTACCGTGAAGCTGAGAATGCACTGCGACCAAGCGAATGGCTCCATCCGAACCTCCACACAGTAGATAGTCGTCTTTGTCTCCGACATTGCAAAGACTGTCCGCTGAAACGCGTTCCACCGCCAGGGTGGAATCACCACGACGGGAACCACCCTTTTTCTTCGTAGAAACCGTGGCTGCGCCAGCATTAGCGTGACTGCCGAAGATCTCCAGCGCCGCACCGGTGTTGCTCCCCTTATTTCGTCGGCCGCTCCCGTCCGCGATGATATCGAGGACGATGCGGTCCTTGCAGTCGCCGTAATCGTCGAGAGTGAAGATCTTCAGATCACCTTCCTGCGCACCGCACACGATTTTCGAACCCTGTCTACAGCGACCAAGAGACATCAACTCGTCGTCTTGCGGATCCGACAAGGCAAATAGCTTGCGCCGACGCCAATCGTATACACCCAAAGTCCCATCTCCAGACGTAGCGCAGACGTGACCTTTCTCAGGCAGCAGCAGCAAATCTGAAATGAAATCCTCTTGCTCGCGGAAAAAAGTAGGTCTTCTATCTATTTTTGGTCGATGTTGCACTCCTCCCGAACCCGCACATGTTTCTGTATCCTCTTTAGCAGTAGCGCCAGTGCGCTCCCTTATGTCAACGAAGTGCAGACTCCCATCGTCCAGGCCACATAGGAGGACGTTTCCATCCTCGCCCAAGTAGCGTACTACATTGACAGCACTCTCAAAGGCTGTTCGCAGAATCCGCTGGTTCGTTTCCGTATCCGACACCAACGCCGTTTGATCTGATGACACCGAGACCCACTGACTACCACAACCAGGTGCAAACGCGAGACCGCGCACACCACCTTTATGCCGCTTTCGACGCGACACACAGGAGGCTGCGTCATTTGATGTCCCATCCAAAGGTAGTTTCCAGAAATCAACGCATCCCGTGATTGACGCAGTCGCAAACAGGTTCGAGTCTCTGCTTGGGTGCCAGGCGCAATCGAAAATAGGATCCTCGGAGTTTAGAGAGAAAAGACTCGAGGAAATAGCGGTGCTGGAAGTTCTGCGTACACTGCTTCGCTTTTTCGTGGCGGAAGCACCTTCCATGGAATCTGGCTCGCTGTCGCTCATTTTTGCGTAAACTCTTTACTTTAAGAAGGTAATTAAGACACCCCAACGTGGAAAAAATACATCTGACGATAGTGTGATAACAATCGACGCGCACCACCTGTTGCGAAAATCATGAATAAATCGAATGTGAATTCGCATGAACACGACTCGAGATCCCGATCGTTTGCGCTGCGTCGCTTGATCTTATCCATGTTTTTCCTACATCAGATCTCGAAAAAAGCAAGAATAGATCCTGTGTGTAGATCAGGCTCGATCCTGCTAAAATATTTTCATCTAGAACCCATTCCCACCTAATCGCCTATGGTACGTGAGATCTCTAAATAGAATCGTTCTGTTTCATCGTGTGGGATCTGCTGCATTCGAATTGTCTGATCAATGCTTTATTCAGGTCTGTCCAGGAAGCTGAGCTCTACTTGGTACAACAGTGAAGACATCATGTATTCTTACGCCCTCTTCGCGAGAGAAGAGGTATATCAGTTTCCTGTTCCGTGTCTGTTCACGCTTGAAACGTTATAGGTGCAAAAAAAATATCTCCCGGTCCCGTTACGCACGTTCGATGAGTTACTTGACAATCTATACAAGGCGCAGACGCAGCCACAACCAGTACAAGACAATGAAAATCTTAACTTTTCCGGAAGAGATGAGGAAATTTCCCAGCTTTTGATCTTCGATCGGACAAGTGAAAAGTTGTCACGGTCTTGACAAGCAACTCGGTGCGAACTACATCCTTAGCCCATACAAAAGTGTAGCCAGCGGCCATACAGCAACAAGAAAGAGCGTCAGATCGTACTCACCCCAGAACGCCTTGTGGAGGAGGGCTACCACAAACGGCCCCAAGGCACTAGCAGCAACGAGAAAAGAGTTCGCCATGCCTTGAATTTTCCCGTTGTGTCTCCGTCCAAATTTCACTGCATACACCGTGTTGTGAACAGTGGTCATAATGCCGTTACAAGCTCCCTGCAGTGCTCCGCAGAGCGCCAACCACACTCTGATCTTGAATCGGCGTAGATGCATGTGCAGTAGTCGAAAACTTTGCGCCATTTGCTCTTGGCTCATTTTTCCGATAGCACCAAACAGCAGCGATCGCCGAGGACCTGAATCTGGGACTACGGGATAATCTTCACTTGATGATGTCCCAAGAACGTCTATGCTACTTCCTGAGGCACCACTTATTTGGTGCCGCGTTTCCAGCACACTGCTCGATAGCTCTAGTGAGTACACATCTTCAGTAGATGTCCTCACAGGTTCCTCCAATTTTCGCCTGTTACCTCCGGTCATAACCATTGGCGTGGTGAAGCCACTACTTCTAGGCGGACCCAGCTGAGGAGCACGGAAAGGCATATTGCGAGTACCTGAGACACCGATACCCGCACCAGGGACTATTCGACTACCCGATGTTCGTTCTCCAAAAATACGGTTTCTCGTTGCTATAGACAGAGTATGGGCGCGCTTCTCTTCCTCTTCAAGGTCGTCCAGCTTCAAATATCGCAAACCGAGCCCGTAGAAGATACACATAAGCGTGAGACAAACACACATCACCGCGACCATGCTCTCATAGCGGCACCAACTTTTATCTGCAGCTATGCCGCATAAAATACTGCTGAGTCCAGCAGAAATTGCAGCGCTAATGTAGACAGTCAAAACTAGGTCGGTCGGAACACCTTTCAAGATATTGTCCAGGTGGAACCACAAAGCAGTCAAAATTGCAGCTTGCAAAACCATCGCATGGACGAAGAACCAAAACAGCCCTGTTCGAATCGCTTCTGGGAGCGTAATCACAAGTTCATCTAGGTCGCGTTCATGATCTTCAGTGGAGGTATCGGTACAAACTTTTCCCATTCCAACCAAGTTGCTCTGGTTTTTTCCCCCTGGCGAAGATGAGCCCGTTGGCGATTCCACGTCGCTCTCCTGTCCTCCTTGCTTCTCGTAGTCTACTCGGGGATCATCAGCAGAAAGCCTTTCCCCGCCGCTTTCATCATGATTCTCTTTGTTCTGTCCTCTCTCTCCTTCGCTAACTTCATCTTCTTGCTTTGTGTCGTCCTCGTCTGAAATGTCCTCATCAGCCTGATGAACGCCTCGCGCTATACCAGTTTGTCCACGACGTGCGTAGTCTGGGACGCTGCTAATTCCGTTGCCAATCCTAGCTGGTGGCACAACGAGCTCGATGGCGCTAGCACTTGCTTCTTCCCTAGAAGTTGCATCCATTTCCTCTCTCCCGACAGCAGCATACTTCGGCGACTTCTTACCACCGGCCCATGCCATGAGTCGACGACCGCTCCTACTCCCTGGGGGTGATCTACGAATCGGAGATGGACTGTCTAAGACCAAATCTGCATCTGCTATGTGGTCTATGTGGTCTGCATTATCAGCAGCATCTTCAGGATTCGTCATTTTGTGAGCAGGTGTGCCGGAGGGTGTTAATCTTCGAGTCTTGCGTTGTTGCGTTTGCGCTCTTCCCCCGATTAGGACCGTACGAGTACTATATGTTTTTCTTCCATTACTATTTTGTGGAAATGAATCAAGAACCTTCTGTAATTTTATTTCCGTTCGGTCCAAGTCTGGCAGCAAGCCGTACGTCTCGGGTGCGTTGGCCGCGAACAGCAGCCCCAAAGGCACCAAGACGCACAGCTCTACCATTCCAACTCGAATGTAACTTCCACGCCACCCCAAAGAGTCGCAGAGTGCTTTCACAATAGATGAGAAGATTCCGGTCAGCGCGAAGGAGACAAAAACAGATACCACACCCATCATTCGCGCACGCATGGCAACAAACCAGCAGTTAATCATGTTCGTGCTGACCAGAAATAATGCTCCTTGCCCGAAGAGCCGAAGTAAGTAGTACGCGATTCCAAGCACAATTGGCCCCTTACACAGGCTTGGCGAGCTGTAAAGAAAACAGCTCAAAGACAATCCCAAGGCCGCCGAAGGAAATACAATTCGAGGTCCAAGCACGTCGACAAGCATCCCGACCAAAGGGAGGGTTAGTGCGCTGCCCAGCGTGGCAGCGAGATAAAGACCGGAGACCAGCGTGCGCGACAGATGCAGCTCTGCGATTACAGGGGTGATAGTAGTACCAATAGACGGGGTCTGTCCAGGCCCCGTAAAAATCATACCCATCGTCCCGAGGCACAACACGACATAGCCGTAGTGCCACTGGCAACGCGACAGTGACTTCATCATGCTGGTCATTTCTGTTTCATTTTCTGTACAATGATTTCTGGTGAATTTCTTACGGGATAACAAATTCTTTACTTCAAAAACAAACTTAAGAAGTAGCCGACATCCTACAAATCCCCTCTGTCGCTCGATAAAACTTGAAGTAGCGCTGTGAACGAGCTGCAGGCAGCCTGCCAAACGCCATCTCAGAAATGAGCGAGGAACATGCGAAGAAAACCCTTCATTTGTCAATTTTGGTCCGCGGGCTAGAATTGTTTACCTTCGCGTGCTTCCCACAAACCCTGTTCTTCCGAGACGCATTGCGCTGTTTGTCTACTGAGGTTTTTCTGTATTCGCAAAAGTAATATTACGAAAATCATGCCACAGAAGCACCATCAATGGCTTCAGTCAACATCAACTCAATAATCCGGTGAAAAAAGATAATAGTAATGTCCAGAAGCGCGTTATTGATATTGGTTAATTTGATCCATTTCTGAGGAATGGAATCCGTATCTACGTCCAGTGAAGCTGAATGTAGCGACAAACATCATAAGCTTCTCTTGCCCCGCTGCTGAATGACGTTCATCTTGTCGTCGAATGCTCGCCTACAACGACAGGGAAGCCATAGCGTCTACAAAACTATGGCATGGCAGAGCCAGCATCGAAGCTACAAGAAGACCATATCTTCATTACAGGTGACCTCTACCGCTACCTCGCATCTACACCAGGAAGAAAGGCCGATCACGTTCATGCTCGATCTTCTCCCACATTCTGCAGGAGCAAATCGCAGTATAATGTAAAATCTTCAGCACCCTACTTTCATCTATCATTTACTCCTTGAGCGATTTCAGGAAGGGTTCAATGTTGAGCTCGACAACGGAGCAGGGGGACTTTACAGACCACGGGGCAGTGACGCGCGCACGGTTCTCGCCCTCTCCAACGTATTCTGCTGGAGGATCCAAAACATCAGGCCTCAAAACACCTGCCACACCAATTCGAAGGCCGTCGACCAAAATATGTCCGCACATTCCTGGGAGGAACTCCGGCTCATCAGCGTGGACCTGTGGCAAAGAGGAAGATGGCAGGTAATTTATAATCAATTGCGATACTCAGTCAAAAAAAAAAATTGACGAAGATAAAAGAATTTCACATCTAATGATAAATAAGCTCCATGCCGCACCCATTTCTTTTCTATTCAGGATGAAATTCTGTCCAAAAATAGATTGTCAATTGTGTACAACTACTTATGTACCAGCTCATAGACTTTGCCCTTCCACCGCTTGGCTTTCGTTCCTGCTGGAAGAGCAGCGTTGCGCGCCTCCATCTCCTTTACTTCAACTTTGCTGCGTACTTTGAGTTTGTACATGATGTGGTCCAAGAGACCGTGAATGTCTTCGAAGGAACTAGTGCGGTTGCACATGATGGCAGCAGCTCTTCTTTGATTTCGCGACCCGGTCTCCTCCCGCAAGTCCTGTACTGCAACGTCTGCGACCTCGAACAACCGCAGAGGAAGCGGATTCTTTCGGTTGTAATTAAGCATTTTCAAGAGACCAGGGATCAAACTCGTTCGGACTGTGTTGTATTCCTTTGTCTTGGCGTTGCGGAGTACAACAGCTGGCAGCTTCGGCTCGTAGCTGTGCACTGGCGGTTGGCTCTTCAAAACTGCCGCGCTAGCCTCACGCCGCATCCACTTGAAGCAGTCATCCCGGGAACACTGTTGGGAGAGAAATAAAACAATCAAATTCAAAATTACAGAAACGCAATAGAAATGTGAAAAGAATCCAAAAAACATGCCCGAAAGAAAACTAAGTTTCTTGTAAGACTCAATATCAAATCACAAAGTGACGTACTAGATTTACCAGCACGAAGGTGAGTCCCTCGCTGTATCCTGCACCTGCAAACTCGTATCTAAGCATGTCCGTCAATCGGCCGATCTTCTGGTCCTTAATTTCTGCGATAACTTCTGGTACGCGCGCTTTCAGGTTGTTGTAGCCGTAGGAGATGGCCAGATCCTCGATCAAATCGACTTCGTGCATGATGTCTGGTCGTGTGCACGGTACTCGCACTTGAAGCTTGTCTCCGTCTGCGGAGGCTTCGGATGGCAACATCATTTTTGTGAGGCATTTTTGGACTTCTGGCGTCGACAGGTGCTGGAGCTCGAGCCAGTCTTTCATCTCTGGGACAGAAGCTTCGAAGGTCTTCTCCTCCATCGTTGGGTAGAACTTTTTGGATCCTGGTTTGATGAAGGGGACGCCGCTGGGGTAGTCATTCTCGATAATCATCTCCACCTGCTCAACTTCGAAGGGGGTGTCGCAGTGGCACGAGAACATAGCGCACAACTGGTCTAGTACAATGTTGCACTTGGTGTAGTCGAGGCCCGTTACATCGAGGAGGACGTTGCGAGTGTCGAGCGTTATTCTTGAGTGCCAACTATTGATGATAGGCGGCATAGAGCACACGGTGCGGTTGCTATCGTAGATCACCGGATATCGCTCCTTCTCGTAGATGAGAGGCACCTGCATGTTGGTAGAGGAAAATTGTAAAAAAGCAATCAACAGCTTGTTGTACGTGACTGCACTAGATTCCACATAGGACAACAACACACTATAGCCTCCACAAGCATAAAGTACGTATGCTCGAAGCTGCGGGTGAGCCTGGTATCCGGTGAGCAGAGTCTTTGCGTCGTAAGACTCAGTGCCGTCCTTTGCGACGTCATGCGGATCCTTCAAAGGGATAAAATTGATATCCTTTGCTGGCAACGCCTCGTACGTAAACGGACCCTCTAGTTTGTCCAAATCGTGGGTTCCCATGCTTACCAACTCACGTCGTCGACCTGTTGACGTGAATGTGAACATGCATGAAAAATATAGAGGTGTGCAAGAAAAAGAGGTGAAAAATGAATGAAGCCAAGGCAAATCGAACTCGAAAGTGCGTGAAAATAGAGAAGTTTCAAGCATAAGATAGTACCAATATTTTGATGGAGCTTATCCTGAAGGTCAATGAAGGATTCATAGCTTGCTTGCGTGAATTTGATATTTCGCAATACTGCCATCACGAAATAAGGACGCACTTGTGCGACCTCCTTCTTCACGAAGCACTGAAGGGGCTTCTGAGGTCTCTTCAGAGTGTACTGCACTGGCTCCATCTGCCCTCGGTAGCATTGCAGAGACCGGGTGAGACCTGTTGTGAAGGATTTTTGACTGGTGGACACTAACCAATTAATGCTGTGTGTAGGACATTGTAGTAGTAAAAGAACGATTTATCTTCATGCATTGTTGATGAAACCAAGGAGGAATAAGTCCCTCGAACTTTTTTTAGACAAATAGCTCCAAGTACCTTCAAGGCAGAGCAAGTCGTAACGGTTGGCGGGAATGTCGACCTTCCAGATCGTTCGCATGGTGTCTTTTCCCTTCTCTGCCGCTTCTTTTCTAGCTTTTTCAGCGGCCTCCACGCCTTTTTCCTTCTCTACCATTTCATATTCGCAGGTAACCTAAAAAATTGGTTACAGGTGAATGCGTCTGCCTTGATAGGTTTAAGCTAGAAGCACGACCACGAGGACGGAAAATCAGATGCAAAGATACTTCTTAGTAGATGTTCTTGAAAACGCTAATGCCATAAAGCCAAAACATCAAGCGTCCTTGATGTCTTTCTCACTAGTACCTCATCGAGTTCTAGGCCGTACGCGAAGCAGAGAGAATTGAACTCCTTTTCGCTCTTCTGCTTGATCTCCTTGTCCTGGTCACTGTACTTAATGTCCAGTGATCGGCACAGGTCATCCGCGAAGACACCGAGAGTCGGCATTTTGCCTTGTGACTGGCGGACCGGAACAAGGCAATAAATGACGAACTTCTAACAAGAAAAGTTGTTACTTAGAAATGAGAGAGACAATTAATGAATTAGTTGTCTCTTACCCCAGGTACTTTCTTTGTTACGACGGAATCAAGAAAAGTCAATTGGTAGGTGTCTCACGTCTCACTGAAACGAGTAACAATGCAGAAGAAACTCAGAGACAACCGTCACGACAAAGAGAATGAAGACGGAAAGCCAGAAGCTCTCTTACCAAAATTTGAACATAGACACTGTGTCGAGTATATTTTCCAAAGTTGTCGTTGTTGATCACATGTTAGTAGTTACAACATCTATTATGATAACGTGGAGCGTCAGATCAAAATCTTCTTGGTGATCACAAAGTAGACTGACTGTCCATAAACATCAAAGATCCATTTCAAAAAACCGAATCTCTGATCGAATCATCCACGCAACAGCCGTGATCCGTTTCCACATTCAATTCTAATGAGATCTGGAACGGCGTCGCCACATGTTAGAATGATCTCGGAAGGATAGAGGAGTTAGTTTTTGATCGATTATGGTCTGCGTGGTTCGCGTGATTGATCTTATTTTCCTCAGTGCATCGGGATCTGGGATCTCATCTTCGCACATAGCGGATGTAGCAATTCTCGAATTCATCCTTTGAGAAACAGTTGGACGAACACCTTTGCGCTTTTTATAGTACTCCCAGGACTAACAGGGGCCAAGAAGTAATGCTCTTTAGTTTGTTATAGCAGATAATAATTTGCGCATAACAATGCTGATTTCCATCTTTAAAAGGCAATGTCGAGGGTTCAGCAGTAATACACTAAAGTAGGTTCCTATATCTTTAAAGGACGTTTCATTCATCAGAGACCTGCGGGTTTTCAGGCCTTAGATTTCTTCACCACTTTTCTCTTTTTCTTCCTTCCTTCTCCAGTCATTTTTGTTGCACTTGTCTCGCCCGCCAACTCTGCTTCAGAGCCTGCAGGCCTCTTGTTACTTACTGCTGCATCGTCTTGGAGGCTTTCGCTGATCGTTTCTGCAACTTCTAGCAGTGCAGTCCTCGGCGTGGCTTCAACATCATTATCTGCAGATAATGTCGTGGTGTTCGTCGCAATGGTGTCTTCATTGTTCCTATCTTTCTCCGTCCCGGAAGAGGAGGAAGATGAACTAGTGCTCTTAGTTGCATCGGGGAGGAGGCCGGCTCGTTTTTTGCTGACTTTTTTAGTTGTTCGGAACTCGCCATCGACCAGGACCGTTGAGCGATGTTTTAGGTCTTCCAAGTAGAATTCCATAGCTGCTGCGTTGACACCAACATTTTGGATGTGCCGCTGCACGAATTGACGAATACCGTCACGCAGGCGCATCAAAATTTCCGCATACTCTGCGTTTTGGCCTAACTGACGGGCATGCACGTGGATCAAGATCAAAGCTGCGCGAATCGTGGTCTCGGTAATCAGCGAGTATGGGCAGTTGTTCATCTGACGTTCTGAAGACGTTGCTGACGCATCGATGCCAGCGAGCTTTGCTGTATTCTTTTTATGCAAAACGAACTCCAACAAGGTCGAAACAGTTTCGAGTACGTCGAGACTGTAATTAAACGGCAAAGCCAGAAGCACCTCGTAGATGTTCGCGGGCAAAAGCGAGTTTAAACTCTTGACAATGCAGGTTTGTCTAGTCTTGTCCAGCCCCATCTTTACGTTATCTTCAGCACGGTCAATCACATCCATAAGTCGATCTGTCGTCTTGATGACCTCTAGATTTTTACGCGTGGGCCTCAAATTTTCTACGGTATTGCCGGCTCCGAAGTCGTTGCGCACTGCGTCTTGCTCCATCTGCTCTTCTAGCTCTTTTTCTCGCTCCTCGCGAGTAAAAAACTGCTGCTCCGTACGCCGCCATACTCGCAAGGCGCGGTCGGCACCACCGGTTACAATGAAAGCACCGTCGTACCTGTTGGGCAATGAAATTGAGAAAGTCACAACGAACAATCGGTGAAAACGTTCAAGGTTGCAGCAGGAATGAGGATGGCTGATAAATCTAAGATCTAGTAAGCAATGACTAGTCCTGAGGAAAATTGGTTCGTCTTTTTTGCTGTGAATCTCGACAATAATGAAGTTTCAGCAGAGAAAATTCACAAGTTCATAATGAAGTACGATAGTCCCATGCCCCAGATCTCGCCCTGGTGGTAACCGAGGTTAGAAATGAGTTCGTAGGTGTCGCAGTCCCATGTTTTCACTGCCTTGTCTTTGCCGCACGTGACCAGGTAGTGCGTTTCTCGCACGAATTTACAGCACATAACACTGTCTTCATGGGCGCGCAAACTCTTCAGGCAGTTTCCGAAGCGCGTGCTCCACAGCTTGATTGTTTTGTCAGCTGAGCCACTTGCCACCATCTGCTGGTCGGTGCTGATGTCTAAACACAGGACCGGGAGCTTGTGGCCGTAGAGAGACAAATTGTGCTTCAACGAGTCGGCATAGTAGACCGAGACATTGTGATCAAGCATACCAACAGCAATCCATTCTGCTGAATGCGCTATAGCCATGACATCGTCCGAAAGCTCAATCGGTGCACGCTCGGCGGCGCGTCGAAACCTCAAAGTCTTTCCGGTAATCTCACTGCCACCATCCGTTCCGATCTTCTTGCCAGCAGCAGCCTTGTTTTTGCTGCCTTTCTTCGACTTCTTCGCGTTGCCCTCTCCATCATCAACGCCAGTCGTTGCCGCGACAGTGATCCACTCGAAGAACGTGACCGTCTTGTCGGCACCGCCCACGCAAAAGCCTGTTTCGTCGGGAGTAGGGACGAGGGCATAGAGTTCCTGGCCCTTGCCTGCCGCGTCCCCTGCACCGTCCGCAATTCCTGCGAGTGCATCCGTAACTGGGGTGCACTGTACCAAAGTTCCGGTACCTAGATCGTAGAGTTCGACGTCGCCAGTTTTAGTTCCGATGACGACATGCGTGTTTCCCGGTAAGAAGTAGCCACAGGTTCCGTAGCCAGAAGGAATGGTCTGCAAGCACTTGCGCGTTTGCGTAGACCATAGCTTGATGCACTCGGCTGACAAACTGAGGATCATCATATCATCGGGAGAAACCGCAACTGCGCGAATCGTGTTTCGGTGTCCCGGTCGCTCGATGGACAGTAGCTGCAAACTTTGTTGCTGCGCTGCTGCTCTACTCTTACCGAGATTTCCCAGCCGGCCCTGGTCCTCCGTATCGCTCTCTTGCTCTGCTTCTGCCGCAAGGCTGCAGCTGGATCGCATCTCCAAGGGCGCTTCGTCGCCCTCCGGGATCTCCACTTCATCCAGGATTTCGATAGCGTTGCTGTTCAAGCCCAATGCACAGCGGTTGCCTGCCCAAGCCATGCCGTGAAGCTTGGCCTTGACCCGATGTGGAGGAAGTCGCGTGAACGCGTCTGTTGGCTGATAAAACGCGTCTCCAGCCGCTCCACCAGCGGCCAAGTTGTTGTAGGCGGTTCCGTCTCCGGAAACCACCAGTTTGCTCACTTCAGCGCCGTTCTCGATCGCTCGCTGAATGGCCTCTTCCGTTGCTGAGACCGCGCCTCCCTTCTTTTTAAGCTTCTCCGCAGCACGTTTTCGTCGTCGCTTGCGCTTTTTGTCCGTCTCACGCGAATCGTGCACTCTAAAGGGCTCCACCGTCTTGGCACTGCTCTGGCAAACGAGGAGCTTGCCGTCACATGCCAATTGCAGGTCGGTTGCTGCTGCATTTTGCACGGTTCTCTGGAGCGAACCTGCAGATTCGAATCGTCGATCCATAGGATTCGCGACACTGCCGTCTTCGACGTAGACACGCAGTAAGTGATCTGACGCACCCACAATGATTGCACAAGGCGGAGGCCTTTGTTCTGTAGATTCTGATTCATTTACTGAGGCCTTTCCGTTCTTGTTTCCAGCATTTTCTATAGCTTTGTTGGGATTTGCTTTGCCCCAGATCGAGTCGGCATCTAGCGCCACCACGCTCCACAGCTCCACGCGCTCTGCTAACGTTTGCAGGCACACCTGCGTTGCGATGGACCACAGCTTAATAGTGCGATCCTTTCCAACAGAGAGTACGCGCTCTGCATCCGGCAAGATTTGCACACCGGTGACTCGATCTCGGTGTCCGCGCAATCGACACACACCACTTTCGCCTACTGCGTCCCAGATCACGATGTCAGTATCATAGCCGCCACTAGCAAGCAAGCTGCTCCCTTGAACACTTGTTGATCCCGAGGAGAGTTGCATGTCTGAAGAAATGCTATTGCTTGGCGAAGCACCAAGAGTAGAAGGCAAAATCTTATTTCCCTGCCTCGTTGCAGGTTCAGTCGAGGACCGCGCAGCATTTTTGCAGAAACCCAGGCACGAAACATGGTTCTTGTGACCATGGAAAGTGACTTTCAGCTTAGGTGGTTTCAGGTCAAAAACGTCGTAGTCACGCAGCGCCGCTCCTTGTGGCGTATTCGTAGAGAACTCCCACAAACGGACTGTGCCATCAGCATAGCCGACTGCCATCGTGCTGCCAACGCGCAACCAACCCAATTGGGTCACAGGGACGAGAAGCTGTGTTGATTCGATTTCAATAAGTAGAGTGCACGTGTTGCATCAACTGAGGATTGAATTTAAAACCGATTTTACGTCCAAAGGCAATCCATGATTCAAGCCAAAAATAAAATCGAACGATATGCAATGCATGCGATCACTCACACTAGAACAAAAAGGTACCTTGACATCGTCTGAGGTGGACGCGTCGAAGTGGAAGAGACACTCATTCCGCTTGAGTGACCAGCATGCGACTGCCTCGTTACAGCAAGTGAAAACGTATTTTCCGCAACCTGAGAGGACCAGGTTACAATTTGGGCTCTGAATGGTCCCGAACTGCCCTGCGGCCTCATATCGCAGGTACGCTTTACCCAACTGCACCATGATGTTGATCGCCGGGGTAAAACTTACTGTGTATGTCTATCGCTGATGCATGGAACCAAACGGGGAAGTGGTTCTAGTTTTAACACACTAGGCATTCAAGAAATGATAGTAACGATTGTGTGTCGTCGCGTCAGATCTAATAGCAGGCAAATTAAATCACCGCATCTCGAAAACAAGCTATACGGTATGAATTAAACATGAAGGATGCAAAATGATTTAGCGACACCATGCACTCCTGCTTGACGAAAAGTGAAATGGAAATTGTAAGATATGTCAAAGCAGAAATCAAGTTGATGTTTGTTATATCGAAGGATCAAGAAGACCGGCTTAAGAAAACAGAACATCATCACATCAGGGAAAGACCTGATCCCCTAGAGATCCTTGCTTTGTCTTGGAGGATTGAGGTCTGTCCAATAGATCGTTTGTGTTTGTTTGACCGAGATCCCCATGCTTGTTGTAAAAAATCTCAAGGATAGACGATGGATCTTCTCGTAGCTTCTTTGACGGTCTAGATCTTGTGATCTCGTATAAATATCATCATTAGATCTTCAAGAACTTCTTCTATCTTCATTGGGATCACGAAACTGACTTTTCACGCAGCAACTTTACTACTCCTCGATGGGGCCCGGCAGCGATTGCTACAGCGCATTAGCTTTCCATGCTGGTAGAAGTATGCTCTGATATCAACAACAACATGAAGAAGAATTATGCAACATTGGAATGTGTAGAGGGACACGACTCTTACATAATCGGTTTTTCAGGGGTCGCAACGCGTAACATTGCGTATTTGAATACCACACACCTTTGGTGCGATTTCCAAGGATTGATCAAAAAGGTCAAGGATAATGAGCCTTCAGTACTCAACCAAGGTCATCAATTATGGAAAAGATAAAGCCGGCTAGCTTCTACATGAATATCGTTAGGTGTGTTAAGAAGTTCTTGGATCAACTGTCCGTGATTGCAAACTGCCGTGTGTATAAGAAAGAAAACTACGATATGAGAGAAAATTGCGCTATGCTTCCGTCATCGGATCGCGTCGCGAAGTTGTTTCAGTACCATAGTCGCCATGAATACCGTGTTTTGTTCACTTGCTTAGAGATCGTCATCGATTTCCATCTTATCGAGTCTCGCTACGACGTCCTTGATGTTCTCGACGCACGAGTCAATTCCCGCTTGTTGCACTGCGAAAGTTGCACCACTTCGCAGCACCACCTTTCCTGGCTTCATACGGCAGTATGGAAGTCCCTTGGCGTTCGCTGGGTAGGCGCACGTGTCGGGGAAATCGCGGACCAAACAGGTGGCGCTCTGCTGAAAGACCTGAAGTGACGGCGCACCCGCGTGGTGGAACAGCGGACTGTATTCAGTCTGTACAGCAAGTTGATACAACTTGTTGTTCAGGGCGGCGATCATCTCCGCAGTCACTTTCGGAGTGGTAAAACTGCCCAAGTCCGACGGCGTAAGCTTATACACTTGGAGCTTGTTCCACACGATCATCTGAATCTTACCTGTCTTTGGAGTAACGTTTTGAATTTGATGTGAATAAGGTAAACGCAATAATAGTCGATGTGAGAGTAGAAAAAGAACCGAGTTAGAGTTTTTTGTGTTGTAAATGACCATCAACAACCAGAAACAAAAGGGATCAAGTACATCTCATTTCGCCATCGTTCCACAGCGCTGCCATCATTGCAAACATCGGTTGCAATCGTTGGAAATCGGATTCGTCTGGCTGCAATGGGATAATACAGAGATCGGCAAGCGCGTACGCCAATCGCGTCGACGGCGATGGCCTGCGATCGCCGTCTGTATCGATAAAGATTTTCCAGGTATCTGCTGTTTTTTCCAGAGATTCTCGCAAAGCGTTTGCGATGCGAACAGTGTCATCACGGGTGCGATGCTGCTCGTCTTGATGCGATGCCCCGCTAGAGATCAGGTACACGTTCTCCGGCACGGCTTCGTTCCAACGAGACGGCTGCACCGCGTTGCCCACAGTGTCGACCACCGCAGGCGCGGAGTTTCCGCCTCGACCAAACAAACTGCCCAGCATACTGCCGAAGCCCATCCCGAAGCCGGACGAAGAACTGGATGAGCCATTGCCCTCCGCCGCCGCTGCTTCGCGCTGTGCCTCCTCGGCTGCTTGTTGGGTAGCCACATTCACGATATCAAAAATCTTGCCGCAGTTCTGCTCGATAATGCGAGGATCCTGGGAACTGCCACCGAGACACCGCTTCGACGCGTCACCTAATTCGGTCATGTCCATGATTAGTACTTTCGTGGCAGGGTTATCCTCCGCGTACTGGCACGCAGACTGAAAGCAGAGCTGGGTTTTGCCAGTGCCGCCCTTATGGGAGGCAAAGACGTGAATCTCACGAGGGATCGGCATTTTGGTCTCTGGAGGATGAAGGAAAAGGAACTGACTTAAAGGTGACTTAGAAGTTCGAGGATAGTCGGATCTTAAACAAGGCTTCAGACACTTGAATACCGTTTTAGAATCGAAAAAGATTAGTAGGAAGTTAAATTCTTCTGATTGACTTTCTTGCCGACCATAATACGCTAAAAAAACTTTGTTTTTGACTTCAGGGGAAAAACCTGTTTTTGTTGATTTTTGCGAGCTTTGTTTTGCCACAAAAGTCTAGTCTCTCTTTCTCTCTCAATGCAACAGCTCACGCATTCTCCAGTCAAAGCAAAATTATCCGATCTTGACAGTGTCGGAGCTTCGGAGAAATTATTGTTGTTGATGGGAGGATCTGGATCTCATTCCTATTCCAGAATGCTCATGATAAGAAATGGCCCTGCTTTCGTTGGGTTGTAGATTCGGATATCTGAAACAGTTTCTTTGCGTGTGATTTGATTTTGATCTTTCGTAAACATGAAGTGATCATGGAAATGAGGCAGTACCGCGGCGGCCAGACTCTTCGTGACTATCACCACTCCGAGAAACTTTCTTTTCTAAACGGTCTTAGCGACTCCCCATGCAAAGATTAGGAGATGCGAGGCAAAGCGCCGTCAACATGAAAAAATTTGAATTCTGTGTTCGGATCTAGCCGCGTAGTTTTGACCTTTCAGAATTAACAAGTTTCTCTGCGTGTGTCATTTTGACAACAACGCAGGTGTATGTAGCTCACTTTCTACCATGGTACGCGCAGCCGTAGAAAGCGAAGACGGGGAGCAGCATGCGACAACATGGAAATCTTGCGATAAAACTGTTCAACCATTCACCATGATTCAAGAATCGCGTTATGTTGTGACAATCATCTTCATGTTGCTCTTGCAGCTCTCCAAGAGTTGCACAGTCGCCCGGAAGAGATCGCTGGAATGGTCCGCAGGGAAGCGAAGGGATTGGAGGCATGTTGTCCAACATCGAGCACCGCATTGTCGGGTAAAATGGATGTGCGTTATGTCAGAACCGTGGCGAGGTGCGCTCGGGAGAGAAGCGCTCTATGAATGATTCAAAAAAAGTAAACAGGGTCTCGGCGAAGCGAATTCGCTATAGTGAAGTGCAGCACTGGTTGTTCTTCTGCGCGGTCTTGTAAAACTGTATACTGGTAGCCGACAAATCTCCCGATTTCTGCATCAAGCTATCCAGGTTCTCCCCCCTCTTCAATATATCATCCATGCTTTTGATAACGGTCGCTTTTACCTAATGTTCAAGGAGAAGAAGCGACATCAATCGGTAGGAATTATATCTTGATTTGATGAAGAATTTGAATGCTTCATGAAAGAATGAATGTATTTGGGATTGGCATAAGAACATTAACGACTTGCGTATGAAACCATGTGCATGTCATGAAAACTAGATAAATAATATTAATATTTTTTCTCATTACAGTAGTTGAAAAAACATACCTACACACATGCTTTCATAAAAGTACCTCGTCCAACTCCCGTTCTATCTTCGTTATCTTGTCTGCTTCGTCAGGATTTTGGAACTTGTCGAACATCGCTTGCCCTTCAGGGAACGGCATAGTTGTGTCTGCCATTTGCCTGCTAGCTTCACCATTTGGGTACTGTTTCAAGAATGCGCCGAGAGCTTCTGATATAAGGGTGTAGGCCACTCGCAGTGGATACTCGTTGTCAGTAACGCACGTACATGCTAGTCCGCTTGGATGGATCCAAGTGTGGCAGTATCCTGTAGAGAAAAATTAAAAGGTGATTCTTACTTTGTTATTAGTAAACGCGAAAACTCCCAATTTCTGTCCTTATAACCTGCAAAATAAATAAGCGATACCCGTAAAAAGTACCTACATCGCCTTCGAGCTTCACTGTCTGTCGCTTGCCTGGTTCCGTGTGGTTTACTATCGTTCTACTATGGAATTGTAGCTGCTCTCGCGCGACACCCCTCTGAAAATAGTTTATGAAGCTCAGGTTCTCGAAGTCGGCAACCTGCACCGAGTTCCCTTCCTGGTACTTCCATACTTTCAGTGATATCAGTCTCATTTTTTAGGACTTTGACAGAAGCCTAGAAGTGGCAAGATCGATGGTAACTCAAACTACTAGTGTAAAAATCTATACTATAATAGTATGATACGATGTTACTCTTACTTGATCGAATAATTGTCAAAACTTAATCGAGTGTACTCTAGCATGTCGCAGAAGTCTATCTATCCCCAAGCCTAAATCTGTATGAGTAAAAGTCAAAATGAGAGGTCTCGTTCCATCTCTCGTCAAGTACTTGTTATCAAACTCGGGGTACCAGTACAGTGATGTGCCTTTTCATTCACAGTTTGTATAATATTGCGCCAACAGCTACATGTGATGAGTCCATGTCCTACGCCGCATACAATACAGTACAACTTACCTCGCACAAAGTTCAGTGCAGACTGCCTAATTACGATTCTGTTTTTGATAGAACGATATCATACCTAGACCAATTCGGCGCTGAAGAACGCCGCGACTAAATTTCGATTCGAAAATGGTGTCCCTCGTTGTCGAACGGAAATTAATATTCGAAATGTAGTGATTATGATTGAGAACACGAGGTGCTCAGACACATGACAAATGCGAGAAGGTTGAATCTCTCTCGTGCGTTTGCAGAATTCCTAGAAAACTGGTGGATGCTGCTCTGATCATTACAACATTCGTCTGTCGCCTTCTTTGAGGGTCTCGTTTGTGGATTTAATGCAAGATAACTGTGACAGTTCGATCCGCCGTAACTTTTCGTCTTACAAGAAGTTTCATCTCCGGTATGTCACAGATGGAGTCCACAATAATCCCCCAAATATTGTATTTGCTTCATCGGTTTCTACCTCCCAAAATTATTTTCTTGTCGCATTTATTGCGCTCGGTTTCCCCTAAACAAAAAGATATTCTGCACTATCGTGTAACAACGATTTCTTCATGTAAGGAAACTGCAGTCTGCAAAACGACAGCAGGAAAAATACTCCAGTTCTAATTGTTCGTGAGAACGCTCGTGTAGAAAACAAGGTACTGCCCACTGTACTGCATGTTGGTTCGCCACAACAAGGGCTCCAATATCGATGCTCTCTTCGCTTTCGAGTGGCCTTCTTGTTCAGGCGAATCAGTTAAATAGACCCAAAGGCCGGAAGGGGCAGCTTCTCAATTTCCGTGGAATGTAAAACCCATTGGAAGACTGAATATCCATCACGGATTGACATTGCTCTGATCTTTGCACACAACCCCGAGAATTTGTAGTCAAGTTCGATCCTGAATAGAAAGGCTCGTCCAAACTGGACCGGTTGATAATCCCGAAGAATATGCCTGTCTGAATCCGTTCTGTCCGACTCCCGAGCACGCAGGAGCATGTCTCCATGTTGCAAATTAATCATTATGACAGGCGCAAAAGAAAATGCTACGGTACACACGCGATCTTGTGTACGCGTCGCCCGCAGTCTGAGGCCGTCATAACTCGCGTTGAGCCAAAAGCCAGCATCGTCCCTGCTCCTATGTAATTGCAAGTCATAACCTGCGAAGTTTCTGAGGACGGAGTCTTTCGCCTCATATGGCAATTCCGTGAGAAAGTCGAACGCATGCTCGCTCGAGACATCACCGACCACGCCTTCAGGAATGTGCGACTGCAGTACCAATGCAGCATGTTCCAACTCTTTCGTTAGCCCGAGCGTCAAGGAATCCGCTACTGGCCTGCTGACCCCAATCCCAATGCGTACTCGCTCGCCATCTCCTCGACAAGCTGCTCTACCACCGCTGTGAACCCCCGTGCAATAGGATTGCCAAAAGTGGCGCTCAAAGCGAGGCTCCCATCTTCTACGTGCGGGTCTAGCATATCGGATTCCCAACTTTGCCGAGTATCTGGGTGCAGAAGCTGAGCGAGGTTGACTCGCAAAAGCTGCTTCAGCGCAGAAGAAAAACAGACAAACGTGAAGGTCCTTCCATGCTTCTGCAAATCTATCACGTCATCCAGGCCTAGCGGCTACACGCCGGCCCCAGGTTCTGCTGGTAATATCTTGAAATTGTCGGGTGACGGGTGGAACTCTGTCCTGCAAGCTGTTCTAAGGTCTCGCTGCTGATACCAGGCTGGTATTTGACTTCGGCTATCTCCTCGCCACTGAACGCTGCTACGATTGTGAGCATTGCGTCGGCATCTTCCGATCTTTCCATGGCAGCTAGCGTGACTGCGCTACCGCCAATAGCCGCCATTCCTCCTCCGCTATGCAGCAATACTGCACCGACAAGGCAGAACGCCCTGAAACAACCCCGCAGAAGCAGGTTGGCAAACTTCATTTTCGAGTCGGTAGCCATTTCACTTGAATCTTCACTGGACAAGACCTTGCTATATTTGTTTTTCAAAAGCTTCAACCCTCTAGACAGAAGACGACGTAGGACTTATTTGTAGTAACTATTAGTGGTTGTGTTCTAAAAACCATGTAATAGGTACGAAAACCTGGCACCAACTCGTAAGCAGATGGTCTTGAGCTTGAAGATCTAGCCAGACTCAGGGGACGAGGAGATCGCGACTTCGTCAAGATTTTCAAAGGGATCTTGTTTCTCGGAATCGCCATACTTATAGTGTATTGACACCTACCGTATCATACTCATTCAGATTCTTTCAGCTGCTCATGTCAGATCAGCTGGCCTCGTCAGAGTTTTGCCGATTCGTTCAAACTCACATTCTTGTTGCGTCCTTCAAGGTATTTTCATGCGCGTCGTCCTGCGCTTCTTCATGCGAGAGTGCACTCGCATCGTGATGCTTTTCAATTGAGCTGTTTATTTGGGTTTGGGAATTGTTCCTTTTCTGTGCAAAGATCTACCGTAGTTGCAACAAATGTGGTACATTTCTAACCAAATCTCTGTAGGATTATATTAGCCAGATGAAGCCGCCGTGATAGCGCCCTAAGACGAGTCGAGAAGATCCTGAAAATTTTTCTGAATAGGAACTAAGGATATCCGGACCTCATGATTATCTGTCGAATCAACGAACGACAAGATTGATTCTTTATTCGCCTCATTAGTAGTGCATCAAGGGACGCACCAAGCAGCATGCTTCTCCCACCCATGCGATGGCTTTTTCCTGCTCACCATCAATGTCTAAGTAATTAAAACCTCGAACAATATGGAAGACAAGTACTTAGATGCAAGCTGTTCATCAATGACGCTAAAAACAATCATTGTTTAAGTCGGGACTGGTCTAAGCGAAAATTTACACGGATGAGGACAATTTCTAAAAATATGAAGGTCATTTCAAACGCCTTTCCCTGCTACATTTTGGAGGTGTGATATTAATTGAGGAAGCCAATAAGTTACAAAAGTGCTCTATTGCTTATGATCAAGTTGCATGTTTATTGATTTAATGTTGCTAATCATGTTATCAAATACACTTCTATGCGATCATCCCACGACCTGAGCAAATATATATTCAAGAAAGTCGTGGAGTGCCCTTCCCGCGGCTTGCGATCATTCTTGATGTAGATATCCATCATCTCCAATACAAAATGAACCCAAGAAACGCAGGCCAAGCGGCCACAACTAGGTGGACTATACAAAGATACAACAACAATTCGTGATGTATATAATGATGGTGAAGGAGTAACAAAGCTGATATGTTATCTGGACTATTCAGTAGAAGTAAGTAGCATGCACCTGTATGCGCTATATGTTGAAGAATTCAGAACAAGAGCAGCTGGTGAGATGAAGTATCGTTATAAACTTGAAAAACGAGCTCCAGTTTTGTTGATTTAGTACTCTACGGGACTAAGTTACACACTCGAAATCATCGGGCTTTTGAACATGATCGGAGTAGGAGCTCCCGCTCTCGCTCTATGCCAGTCATCCGCTCCTGCTCTCGCTGGTGACAGTACTCCTGAAGATGAGATGGCACTCACGTTCCGAGGAACGACTTGCGGCAAGAGCTCGCATGTGCTTCTCATGGGCGGCGAAGACTTAGTCCTCTGCATGGGGAAAGCGCCTTTGTTCTCGCCCAAGGAGCCCAACGAGTGCACGGATGGTCGTCGTACTTCATCTAGTAGTGTTCCTCCAAGTTGTCCGCCAGGATCGCCAAAGAGCGCGCCAAACACGGCTGCAAAGCCATTTCTCGCTTCTTCCTCTTCTGCCGCCCGCTTCGTCTCCTCAACATAGGCTATCACCGTCGGTTTCGTTAGCATTTTCATGTTCTTACTCTATACTGTGATTCATCCTGTGAGATGGTGAGCCTATCTTTCCTCCAGTTGCAATCACAACAAGTGGAATGTTGATACTGCAAGATCGTACCTACAACTACAACCTAGAAGCAAAATAAGAAACAGGGAAAGAGAACGACATGAATCGAAGATATTACAGGAATCCGGAATGTCTAAAATGCCTGAAGCTGATTATGAAGTGTTCTTGTGAGCAGCCCTAATTTCCGAAGCGTCCCCAGAAACGTGCCTGCCTCGTCCACAACAGCCGCATGACTCAGTCCTAACTTGCGAAACAAAGCAACCACTTCAGATATGGGTGTGCATGGCAACATTCGCACAACATTCCTTTCAATCGCTTTCGTAGGTATTCGCAACTTCCTCGTCTCGGATGAGGTGCTACCACTATCCCTACCAGCATCACTGGCCGATTCTACTGGTGGGTTCGCAGAACATTTGCTTTCGATGCCGTGGCTCGAAGAGTCGTCTTTTCGGTCGAGCGCTGCTTGCAGGGCATGCCGCGAGACATGGCCAACTAGAAGGCGCCTCTGGTAATTCGAGGGCTCCATGCCATGCACGACTGCGAAGTGTTGCCTTCCTCGACAACTCGCGAGCACAGCCTTTGCCGCGGCTGCTCTCACAAAAATATGACCGCCGTCTTCGAGCGAAAAAGGCGCTCCTCCTCTCCCATGTTGATGTTGATTTCGATTTGGTGCTGCAGGTACAATAAGTGCTCCCCCGCCGTCCTCTGTTTCAAAGCCTCGCGACGAGCTCCTTGAGTTGTCTACACTGGAACTTCGCGGCATTGCTATCCTACCCGCCGCCCCCTCCGAGGAAAAGCCACCTATTCTAGCACTGCCGACTGTACTAGACGAACAACTGGCACTGCCACCTGCGTCGGATTCCGCGGTCGAGCTTCCTCCACCTAGTGCAAGGGATAAGTCATTACCGCCACCAGTTTCCGTGCTATCCTTACTGCATTGTCGCAGCTTGACGGTGGCCGTACCTACAGGATGTTCGAAGTTCTGGCTATCGTTGCCGTGCTCGTCGCTATGCTCAGACTGAGTTCTACTCAACTCAGGTCTGGGCGCCGTCGTATCGACGCAGGCGTCGGCCCATTCTCGACAAAGCTTCATCCACTCTAGTTTTGGTTCAGGCACATCAGCAGCGCAGCCAGCACGAAATCCGAAATTCGGAAACGGAGACACCGGAGGAACCGAGTAGACACTGTAGTCACATACGGTTCCGTCAGCAGATTCTGAACCAACAAGTTCTAAAACCCGATGCCGATCTGGGAAATAGTTGCTTTCCTGGTAGGAGCTGATGGAGGGGCCGACCGATAGTAGAGGGCCATTATTCGTAAAACTGTCTTTACAGCTGTTGATGTTGTTCAACTTCAACACTTTCTCAGGCTCGGTTGTGGCCTTGAGTTTCGACGTCCCGTCGAAAGTCTGCCTGTTCTCTTGTTGCTCTTCCCGTGACCTACTCTGCACCAACAGCTCACCAGCAGTGAGAATACGTCCCGGACTCCGGGAGAAGTCAAAATCGTGAAGAAACAGGTATCCCTTGAGAGTGATGTGTCGATCGTAGATGCCGTCACTAGTGAGAAGGTTGCCTACGGTTCGTGCGGCGAGAGCGGTGACCATGAATGGCACCACAAGTTCTAGTGCGCCGGTCAACTCCAGCATAATAACCACGAGGGACACCGTCACGCGACACTTTCCTGCCAAGACAGCGAGGGCGCCGACCTGAAAAGTATTCAAGAAAAAAATTGTGTGTTCGAATTTTTTCCGGAAATCATAGGAGGTATCGCATTAGCAATTGATTTCTGCTGCTGCAAAAAGACTTTCATTCGATACGGTCTTCCAGTGGGGTAGCAAAAAAGGGGCAGCTCGACCAAGGGAACGTAAATGGATACAAAACTAGTATTCATCTACCTGCGCGTATATGCCGGGATGGACCATGTTATCTGCGGATGCTACACCGCGTGAGCGCTCTTCGTCGGTTGCAGCCACGTACAGAAAGAAGGTTCCAAGCAGTCGGCCGAGGCAACTTCCCGTGAATAATGCTGGAACGAAAAGACCGCCTGGGATCGCCGCGCCGAAGGTCACAACCGTCTGCGCGAACCGAAATAGCACTGCAGCAAGCAGCGTGGCCATGAGCTCGAAAGATATCACAAACCCTTGTCCTGTTGAGCTGCACAAGCCTAACCGGTCGAAAATTTCGAGGTTACTTTCTGCAAGGCTCCGAGCCTTCACATCCGCTCCTCTTGATGCTGTTCTGCTGTCGGAGGATGATGGAGATGTTGCTTCTCGGAGTGTAGTCTTAGCAGGCATTGGCGGGAACAGTGAGTATTTCTCTCGTGTCCTGTCCCAGAACAGACCTGCAGATCCGCGAAAATTTGTAGTTGGTGCGGTGTTGATAGTAGCAGCCGCGTTTTCGATAGAGTTCCTTTCGTGCAAACCTTGTTCTGTAGCCTTGCTCATCCGGTTTGCAGGCAATTTCCTGTCGCCAAGCACAGTACTTAGTAGACGATGGCCACCGTCTCCTGCGCGTGACGCGCCTGCAGCATCGCAGGAGGAGAACATGCGATGCACGACGATCGTGGAGATGGGATTCAGAAACTTTTGTTGACCAAGCGGCACCACATCGGAGAGAACGCAGGTGAACAGCGTCACTGCAACAACTTCACAAACAGGATAAAAGGACCACCTGAAAAATCTACGTCGAAGAGTGTTGCTTGTCTTGACCGGTGTTGGATCGTCTGGAGTATTTTTGTCATTCATTACGTACAGATCAGCAGGACTGCGGTTCATATGTTCACCTTGCGACTTTCCTGTTATTCGACCGCGTTCAGCAGCCACTACGCCTCCATCTTCTGTTGACGTCCTCAAGGTTGACGCGGTGTCCGCGATGGTGCTTTTCGTCGGAATACTGCCCATCTGATGTTGATGGGGAGATATCGTCTGGTCAGCGGGTAATTTGTTCAACGCGTCTACAGGGCTATTTTTATGCGCTACAGCAGCAGCAGTGCTAGATAGACTTCTCGTGGTTCTCGAGTCTCTTAGCATTTCTAAACGAAATCCTGTCACCAAACTGCTACAGTGCACAAAAGCGGCGCCGACTAAACCACCCAGTACACCAATAAGCAGGAACGGGAAATACGTTAGGAAGTGCCAGTGTGGAACTTCGCCAATGCGATAAGGAGCCAACTCGTTATAACCGTTTAGACCCTGTGAAAGTAGTTGTAAGTCAGCCTTGTATTATGATACTTGTTGGATTTCATCGATATTAGAGCAAAGTATTGTCGTTGGTTACCAAACGGCCACCTTGAATCAAATCGTGTCGACGAGAGGAAAAAGAGTACTGCGTCCTTTTTAGGAACTGAATCTGAGATCAAGTTTACCTGTATAGTGAGAGCCGCAATGCTGGCTGCAAAGAATGCTCGCGCCATCGTTTTCAGTGGAAAGTGGGAACTCACCTCTTCGAAGCTAAAGAGCACGCCACCCAGAGGTGCACCGAAAGCGGTTGCCACACCAGCTGCAGCGGCAGCAGAAAGCATCTCTGAAAATAAAGGCCACCCTCCCGGAAAAGTTTCCGCAGGCGAAACTTCGGATGATGATGATGATCCTTTCTGTGTCTTCATGTTGTTTGGGGTAAACTGCTTCGCCTCGACAATTATTTCTTCATCTCGCATGTCTGTTGAGACCGCTCCTCGGTCTGCAGAACCCTCTGCTTGAAATATCGTTTTATCAGCAGGTTCGCCTTTAGCCTCTGCTGCTACCTCCGCCTCCTCGTCATTTTTGGCATCTTTTGCTAGAAAATTATGATGGCCTCGATGGGCTGCATGAAGCAGTAGGGCGGCCCAGCAACACGCAACGTGTACTAGTGGTCCTTCTTTGCCCAACGCAAGCCCAGCTGGAACGGCGAGCGTCAAACCGATAATCTTTGTGGCAACAGTCGGGCAAGCGAGCACTCCAGGTAGCATGTGTCCGCCAAGGATGGTTTTGATCTCGGGAATGCCAGACCCCCGTGCCTGCGGAGCAACCTTCACGACGAGCATTGAAGTTGCGGCAGCATACAGAACTGCAATCAGCGTTGCCAACAGCCGTGTCGCTGTCGTGGAAGGCGCATCTTCGTCGAACGGAGACAGCCAGTACCTTTGATTTGCGCCAAATCCTTTGAAAATATTAAAAGGCAAACTAGGAGAGGTTACTCTTCTACCTAGATGGAACACAACAATGCCTATTAAAAAGCACCTGAGTTCTCCTTGCGGTAAAAGAGTGTCACCACCATCCGCAGAGCTACTTCCTGTTTGCGACAGCCTTCTTCCCGGGAGCATGTCTGGGAGCATGTCCTCTTCTTGTTCGTAGGCGCGCACCTCACACGCGAATCGCTCTGACGGGTATACTTCATGCCCACAGCAGGTGTGTGCACTAGCGAAGGGCCGCCCCACACAAAAGCCATATCGCCACGTGAACAGCAGCTCTGCACTCCAGTGTAACCAAGCGCCGCTAACAGCCGTCAATACCGCAGCACCGATATTGAAGTGGGTTCTTATGTGGAAATTCTATTTTCAAGCAGTCCAAAGACCCCGGAACGAGCAATCACTCTACTGTTGAAAAAGACATAGAGCTAATCACATAATTGTTAGTTGCAGCTAAGAAGTTCAAATTTCTTTCGCGAAGCTACAACTAGCGCGCACCAACATACTTGCTTCGGCCTATCAAATACAAAAACTCTCAGCCATACCAATCGCGAACATCCACGGGGCTAGCCTCACATCCCGTATCCTTTTCCATCGCGTCAAGGCTTGTAGTGCGGAGACGCGTCGCTCACTCTCCGCTCTGAAGGACAGCATCGAGACGAAGGACCATTTTCGCCGCACAGCAGTGGAATCGCTCGGAGCTGGCAACATCGTCCTCCTTCCTACCTTTACTTTAACACAGACGAGGAAGACGGTATAGATGCAGCTTGTCCGTTCGCTTGATCAGAACAAAGCGCAGATATCACCGCAAAACGAACTTTTTGATCTACGTCCGAGAATTCAGTCTCGGTTCTTTTCACTTGTTCGGCAGCAGCGCAACAATTAGGAGAGCAGCAGGGAGCGACCAGCTGTTGCCTCAGAGCCGCGTCTCCGTGTCGTCCCGTGTCCATGGAGTTTATCCACGATCGCATACATATAAACTATGACAAAGTTGTTATTATGAAGTTTTGGACTCAAATCACCTACTCTATAGACAGAGATGAAGACAAAAATGGGTCTGAATGGATGTGTACTGGCGTATTCCGTGGGTAAAAAAGGAGTGTCGAGTCATGTGCGGAAGTCGATGCTCAAAGCTACTAAACGTTTCTTTTTGTAGGATTTTGAAATACGTGATGCAAAGCCACCAGAGCATCGCTTTCTTGAAGCCAAATCTATGACATTTCATATGTTGTGGCATCTGTTAATCAAGGACATTCGTCGATGTACTCGTAAAAGTGCGATATCAAGAAGTTCTAGTACAGTCTCTCAATTGTTGTCACCGCGAAGTCGGCGCAGGCCCTCAACGGTGCCCGGAACAAGCATCAGCCAGCTCTGACGCGTGTCCAGCGAACCTGAGACAAATTTTTCTTGCGAGGAAGATGTCGTTAAATTTATAAGCATGCAACAAACGTAAAGATGAATTGCTTTGAACCCGTTGCGCCAATCACAAAGTCTAGTGCGTACGTGCAATGTCCCGAAACGGAGGCGATTGTGTATAATTCGTAGATTATCCCGCCTGGATTCAACATCTCATCGGAGTCTAAAGCGCACGAGCCTACAAATGCGTTATTTCCATTTTAAATGTCTCATCAATCACCACTACCACTTGATCAGTTCTTGTAAATCTATGTCGCTATATTTCGTCCTGGACCGCATCAATCGTGGTTGCGACAGTCCTTATGATAGTGGAATTCTGTTCCTGCGTGCCCTTGAAGCGAGCACTGTAGCCCGCAGCAAAACCTGCTGGAAATGCGACCGGCACTATGCGCACTTCCCAGATGGGCCTTGCAACATCCTTTTCCACGAGTAAGAGTCCGTCTGCGTGTAGAAAAGTCAGCAGCTCCTCAGCATGATAATCGTCTGTCACCACAGCGACCGACCTGCGGCGATGTAGGCGAACGAAATCTGCCAGTGGCCGTAGCGTGAAAAACTCGCGGTCTAAAGCAGGATGGAACCACTGGTACCCAATTCGCAAACGCGTCATGGCGGGTCTCCTCGATTGGAGCTCATCGTGCTTTTCGCAGGCTTGGGTCTCTCTGGAAAAATCGGAGTACTCAGTAGCGAGAGCTTTTGATGGCATGGGACACGAGGAGCCTCCATGTTTTTGAGAGAAAACTTGTGCCGGCAGCGTCGCCACACGGATCTTGAGTTCTTCTAGGACTGCAACGTACGGCGAACAAGGGCCGTCCGACAAGTCATAGTCGAACCAACAACTTGTCGCATCGACGCGCTCCTTCATCTGCCGTACCAGTACTGGTCTCTCATTCGTCAGTGTTCGCAGATACCGTAGGAGCTCTGGCAGAAAGGTATGAAGACGTGGAGAGAGGCAATTAAGCTAGAGAAATATTTTCTGTGTCAGTCCCCAGTGGAATAAGTACATAGTAGAGATCTGTTCTACAGAACTGTCTACTGTATTCCAACTCGTTTCATAAGAAAAGTTTTCCTCTGGCCACCGGATCGCAAATGAATCGTAGTCTAGGAAAGAACCAAATGGTAGCCGTACTAAATCTGAAACGATGACTGGGATGCAGCCAACCAGAAGCGCTACGTACAAGTGAATAGTCCATGGCGTTGTTCCGCGTGGCGCCAGGCAGAATAGTGAAGTCCCCAATATTTGGTGGTAATCCTCGATAAAGCCGCCTATTGAAACCAGTGGTTGCCATTCTTCTTCAAGCAGGTCGTAGTCGGAAAAGATACGGCCACGAACTGTCACGTTTTGGTACGAGTTGGTGTTCTGAGGACTGCGACCGTGGAAACTGAGAAGCAAGGGTCTCTTTTCTAACTGCCGATTGTGTCGCTTCAATATTTTTGATCTCCAAGGATCCGTGAAGCCTGGAATCATGACGTCCTTGTGTGGGAGAAACGACGGCTCCCCCAGTGAATGAGCCGCGTTTCCGTGTTTTCCTTCCTGGTCCGCAGATTGTTCCGACGCTTTTGTGTTCGCATCGATATTCTCGCAGCGATCTTCGACTTGCAGTTGAATAATGTGCGTTCCAAAAATTTCTCTCCATTCCGTTGTAATCGCACACGGATGGCGGCCCCAGGAGTAGAGAACGACATGATCCGCGCCCTGCTTGCGATCGAAGTAGGGACCGAATGCACGCATGAAAGCGACCATTTGTCGCATCAGGATTGCAGCTGGTGTCTCAACCTCTTCTATGGACAACGTTTCCTGGCCTATTCCCTCTACTGCTTGTGTTCCCCCTGTTTCCGTTTCAGAAGGGGGCCTAGTTGTCGTTTTTCTTAGGTCCAACACATTTTCGTGAAAACCATCCACCCAGTCCAGCTGGTCGATACATTTAAAATACGACGGAATAACAAACAGATTGGCTCCCTCGGGGTGCCATACTCTATGCGGAGAGTTTTGGAACCAGCGGTGAAACGCAATTTCTGTGCCGTACATGCCATGCATGCAGTTGCTCAGCCCATGCCCGACAGCTTCCAGATAGCGTCCTTCACGAACGAGTTCGTTGGGAGTTAAACTCTTCTCGTCGACTGTTGCCGTGCCCCCGAAAGATACACTTTCACGATCAACACTCTCTTGCAGACGCAGTTTTCGGCGTAGTGCTGCGTGGCCTTCAGTAGAAAGGTCATAGACGTATATTCGTAGTTGGTCCCGCCGTCGCGCAGGAAGTTGCTGCCCCCCTCCAGCCAACTTCGCTTCAAATGCTTGCTCTAAACGGATACTTTTCTCGAACTCGGGCTGCTGTAGGCGCGCACTCGGCGGTGCCTGTGCCCTCTCTAAAGTCCTTTGCTCGCTCAAGGCACCAGTGTCGCCACAAGCATCACTAGTTTCGCTTTCTAGACCTGTTGTGTCCGACCCAGATGAACGAACTTCTACTCCATTCTCAGCTTTTGTGCATTTCTTTGCAGTCTGTAAGACCTTGTCCCGACGTAGAATCTCTCCACTACCTTTTCTAGACCTCCTTGCAGCATTATCTAGCTCTTCGTTTCGCGGTGGGATTAAGACCCGTTCCAGGAGGTGGAAGCTTCTTGCCAATGCCGCAGTGTCCCAATAATTCCTGGGTAAGGGACTCCTAGTCGAGCTCGAATCGTCGTCAGCGCCACCGTGACCAAAAACTTCAGTCCCGAACCATGGCTGGCCAGCGATCTGCTCTAACATACTTTTTTTGGAGGAGAACAGTTTACTCACGTTGTATATTCGCAATATCACGGACCACAGAGGAAAAAAGTCCGAATCAAAGAAAAACATGGGGCAGATCTTAATACAACCGTGATTAGTTGTTCGACGACAAGGAGTATTTTTCCAACTGTCTGAACAAGTGCAAACTCTAAAAATTCTTATTCTTCATCTTTCAAATTTAGTTCGTAATTTTCGCCACCTGGAAAAGTTCTTGCGCCGCCGCCAGTCCCGCGTCGTATTCTATCGCTGCAATGCTGTTCCATAACAGAGTAAAAGTTCCAAAAAGGCATTCTTCCGCTAACGTTTGGAGGCCCACACGCGAAATAATTTGTTGTGTCCATCGATTGTAAGACCGCGACTCATTCAGTGCAACACCACTATCTAACGTAAATTCCCTAACCGGACCCACGAAGTCGCGCCAGAAGTGCACGTCGCCCGTGTTCATAAATCCGCCGTCGCAAGCAGTGTACTGCTGCATCAGCATGGGGCTGCTATCTGCACCTTGTTTCTTCTGGCCCGTCGTCTTATCATACTGACCTATATCGCGGTTAGCAACACCCAAATCCGCTTGACTAGGTGTCGTCGCAGCAACATCTCGGTCTCCCTCTGTCGCATCAGCGGCCATAGCATACAGAGACGCATCATCGGGATAGCGCACAAGCGCGAAAGCGCAAGCCAGAAGGCCTCGCATGCTCGCGGGTATGCTTCGAGATCAAACGGCCTGCTAAAGCACAAGCAACACCAGTCCATCGCAAAACGGTGGCATGCTTTTACCTATTCCAAGCTTGCCCGCCTAGACCGCGAACTAAACAGCGCGCCACGGAAGAATATGGGTCAAAGAAAGGGTACAAGAGCTGTAAGCGTGTTCTGTTATCTCTCTGACTCCAAGAGAGGGATGAGAATCTCTCTATCGTTTATAGTGATAGCGCCTCTGCATGCTCCCAGGCTTCTTGATGGGAAAAAGGTCTCAGGGAACACTATTTCAGGTCTCTAGCGCAATGCCACTACGACTACAGGCAAAGCGCGTATAAAACTACGTAGGTACGAAATCGTCTATACCAAAGGTGGCAGATGTTGCGACCCCTACTCCCAAAATGCCGGTAGAATTAGTTTCCAAAAACATCCAGATACAGCTTGAAGTATGCGTATAAAAAGCGCTTGGCGTACCAAGAGACGTGACTTCATCGCGCATGAGTAAGAGCAGTATTTAGGTAAGATATAAGCAAGTTGATGTTAGTTACTGTGACAGTTATTTTTGGTGTCCAAGAGGGTTGAGTATATAGAAGTGGATTCAAGGAAAATTTGAGAGGTAGAAGAGAACAAAAATAAAAATTCATTCCCAAATATAGCACACACAGATCGCCGTCGTGAAATCGCCACGCCGGTCCCCCTCATCAGGATTGTAGCCTTCCAACAGCGAGCAGCGAGTGTCCTCAGAATCTCAGCTGGCTTTTCGGATGAAGCTGGTCACGAGCGCTGATAAAAGAGCCATTAACGCGCCGACTGACAGTAAGGCGAAGTAGCCTCCGTAGGAATAATGGTCTTTTTGTGAGGTTGATCCGAAAAATTCGAGCAATCCACCACCCCCCATTGGTCCTATGTAGCTGCCGATGAAGCCGCTAATTCCCCATAAGCCTAGTGCCTCTGAAGAGCCTTTGGTGCTTTTCTCCGGTAGGCAATCCAAGGCAAGAGCGTAGTCTACGCTCATGTAGCACCCAGCTGCTATACCTTGTCGTTGGTGGTGTTGCGGAGGAAACTCAAAATGTCCAAGTGTCTTTTGTGATTCGAGAAGAGGTATCTTGCAAGCTAGGACACAATCATCATCCCTTTATGATGATCGCAAAAGCCTCAAAGAGTTCTCTGGAAAAGAAAAAGTGCAACTTGACTTAAGACTACCGTAGATGCAAGAGCCGAGAAGCAGGGTTTGTAGCGTGCTGAATTGCGGGAGATACGGTATTGCTAGATACCACATGTAGCATAATGCCATCATGGCGCACGAGACGTAAACTAGTTTTTTTCTGCCTACTTTGTCGCTTAGGACACCAGCAGGGTATGCGGTCAAGGCTCCCGTTGACTGCGCACACACGACGATAAGGGCGACGAAGTATTTCCGCTGGTGCTCGTCCAAAACTCCAGCTATGTCTCGGACAAAAAAGTATATGAACGACAAGCAGCTTATGGAAAGATAATACCTGAGAGGCGCGAAGAAAGCTGAGCTGCGATGCAGCATGTTCACTAGCCGAAGCGAAACGAATCCTGAAATGACGTGACTATCAATGGTAAACAGAGGTAGCAACGAGTCTTCATGATCTAAATCTAATGCTGCAAAACAGTAACAAGCAAATACTGACGCAATAAAATATGTGATAGTAGTAAAAACGAGTACACTGTTCTCCCAACGAAGACCCAGAAAAAATCCGGGTCCTTGCCAGCATCGAAGAGCAGGGCTTTATACAGGCCGGCAGTATCATCGTCTACCCTTGTCCGCTTTCGATTCTGTCATAATAGCCGAAATTTTGAAGACCACCTAAGACTGTAGTTCATACAATTCCATCGAGATATAGAACTAGGCAAATTTGTGATGTTTGTCCAGATTTAGAACATGAAGATGCAACACTTGATGAATTTTCGATGTCAAGAAAATGAATCTTCAGTACTATTAAATATACCAGACTGCTTTCTTCTGGGCAGCATATCCACACGATACCCGATGAGACGAGGACGGAAACAAGGTAAAAAGGGTAGACATTCTGCATTTCCATATTGCTCGTTGCCATCATGAATAGCATCCCTAACAAATTTCCAAGGAATTGGAAAATCGCTATTATACCGCTTGCTGCCGCATTGTTGTTGACGCCCTGCTCCTCTAAGACGTCGGGAACAAGTCCCAAGACCGTAGCGGAGTAAATCACATTCAGACCGACCTGAAGCGCGAAGATACTTTGGAGGATAGATAACGGTCGAGGGCTAGATGAGGGGCCAGAAGGATCTTCATCTCCTTCCCATTTTCAACCTTTAAATATGAAAGTCTAGCCAACGACATACTTCGGAGAAGAGGTATTCTCTTCGGTATAAAGCCAATCTTATGCACCTGCGATATGAATAGCGCCACTGCATAGACCCAAACGAATAAATGTGCGCTGCTCCATGAAAGGCCCATCACGCCCGCGGCCGTGAGAATGGTTCCGTAAACCATGAAAGGTCTCCTGCGACCAAATATACTTCTATGGTCGTCCGATAACCGACCGACGATGGGACTTATTACTTGACTCGTACCCGCGATTGTAAGCAGTAGTCCTAGAAAGCCGCTATGTGCTTTCGGATAAAACTTTTCCGCCTCACGTTAGAGATGCCTTTACTTCTACCGATAAAACTTTGATTGGAGGGGCTAACCTAGGATAAAAATGAAAAGGAGGGAAACCAAATATCAATATTTTCCTTTTATAACATTGACATAGTTCGTCCCTCAGTTTTGTATTCTACTGATACGAATGGGAGAAAGAAACGCAAAGGTCTACCTAGTCTCCGTAAATATGCCATTGAAGAAGAAAAATAAGAAAGAAATTTTAATGGTTAAACAAGACTGGCCAAATACTTAGCCTTAATCGTAGGGTAGGACGATAAGCCCAATGGTGCTCCATATCATGCCCATTGGCAATTGGAAGAGACAGGCGGCTAAAAGCCGGGTTGTCAACTTCGGTGTTGCTTCTTCGTCCACCGGTGATATCTCCGCAGCACTATTGGTGGTGAGCATATCCTCAGGGCTACTTGCAGCAGCATTGACTCCCTCCTTCCGGGTCTGCAACAACCCGAATGTTTCCTTTTGTGGATGGAATGAAGTGTTACTACCAACCCTATAGTTCTTGAAGTCATGACTTTGTTTCTTTTTTTGGATAATTAGTTGTTGTAAAAAAGTGGCGTCGGGTAACGGTAAAAAATGGTAACTAATAGGAATCGATGAGTCCTTCGTTGAGACATGATACCGTACGCAATGTTGTATCAGTCTATAGTATGAAAGAACGAGACCAACATTATGAAGCTGACACATCAAGATAAGCTCCGGGGCTCAGGGCTGAAGGCCCCCCCGATCCAACTTTTTGAGGGGTGGGCCGCCAGCCCCAGACCCTTTTTCTCGAGGGACTGCCGGGCGGGAAGGCCTCCAAACGCCCACCTTCGCGGCCTCTTGCCTGTATTCGGCAGAGCCCACGCCCCTGAAGCCGTTCAAGCAGCGAAGGCCGGGAATGGGAGGCCTCCGAAAGCGGCAAAAGGTGGCCAGGCTGGACCCCCTTGCTGTGTTGCATGTGCCCTACTTACAGACCTCCCACGCCATGTGGCATGTACCCTACAGGCCTCCCGCGTGCGGGCTCCTTACTGGGGGAGCCTCTTGGGAGGTGGAAGGCCTCCGAGGGCGCAGGTGGCCAGGCTTGACCCCTTTGGCCGTGCTGCACGTAACCGACAGAACCCAGGCGGGCACGTCTTTGCCCCCCTCCACCTCGCCTTTGGTCCTCATCCCCCCGGGCGTTTGGTGGCGGCTGAGGCTGTCACCAATTTGGGGGATGAGCGCCAAAGGGGCCCGGCCTCGCGACCGTCGCCGCCTTCGGCGGCCTTCCTCCCCCGGGAACCGTCCGCCTGATAAGGTCCAAGAGCCGGGACGCCTGTGGGGTAGACGCGGAGAACTGCCAGGGGACTCCGGCGCCGCCTTTTGAGGCCTTCGCCCCCGTGCGTCTTTACATGTCACCACACCAGAAAAAAAGAGCGCGCGGACGCCACCGACGCTCCATCCACAGGGGGGGCCTCCCTCCCTTGTATATATATAAGAAACTAAATAAGCTCATAGACATGGGTCGCAAAAAGACATTGCTGACGCGAGCGCATAGAGGTACGGAAAAACAAATACGACGTACCAAATTTTTGCCGCTCACATCAGGAGACAAGGCTCCTAGATCTTCGACTTGTCGCAGACCATACTCCTGAGCGCTTAGCCCATCGTTTCCGTAAACGGTCATTTTACTCATGACCCACGTGTAAGCCCCTCTGAGTGTCGCTCCTAGCGCGATGACTGCTTGGGGCGCGTTCTGGTCCACCTCAGTAGGAACGTAGCTGGGATCGTTTCGAGCTCGTAGTTTTTTGCAGCGACGACCACTTCCAGCAGCGCCGGTTCTAGTAGACGTGCGCGGCAAGTCAAAATCGCCACCGTCTTCTACTACGTCTATGGCGTAGTCCGGATCGGCGGCAGGGGTGTCTCCAGTACTACTGGCGCCGAGAAGTGTTGGCTGATGGAAAAGTTCCCGCTGAATCAACGGCGAGCTGCCGACTCCTTCTGCAGGTAGGGCTTTTTCCGCGGACGCAAAGGCGGGGTGCGACGCAAGGATAGCCGTAGAGGAGGTGCCAAACGATGGATCGTAGGATGGATCGTAGGGCACGCCAAATCTTGCGGCGGAGGAGCTTGTGGCGGGCGAAGTGCCGACAAGGACCCCAGTGTTCTTGTGTCGGACGCCACTGCCGACGACGATGCCGTTGGTCACTTGGTACTGTCGCTGGCTTTGCACGTCGTTCTCGGAATTCACTCTCGACAGGTCGATCAAATCTGACCCCGCCGAAGACGTAGCGTTGGGGACGCGGTTACCCGTCTGCAACACCTGCTCAAGTTCCTGACTCAAGCTTGTAGTCGCACTTCCTCCACCACCACTGAAGTTGTTCTTGTTGATACTTTTGTTGCTCCCAAAGCTAGTACTGAATAAACCAGATTCGGAGTAGGTAGCGGCGGTGGTAAGTGGATTGAGGATGTCCACCTGATGCTCAAAGACTCCTGCCGGGACAGCCACTGGGGTGCGAATAGCCACAAGTTGGATTCCTGACGATGAACTTGATGCTCCGCCTACAGATGGTGAGCCGGTCGTTGTGCTCCTATCAAGTCCTGCTGCAAATCTGTCCTCGTTGCCCTCCAGCGTGCTGTCTTGTTTGATGCTATTTGCGACGGCGTCTCTGGCAGCTTCATGCATTGCACCTCTAAGGCCAAAACGTTTTAAAAACCCTGGCGGAGTATTGCCGAAAACGTCTACTCGGGTTGACTCCCCGTTCTTGCCTTTCCCACCGCCAATCTGCTCCATCGCCCGCCGTGACTGCGCATGATCAATAGTGAGAACGTCTCACGACGACATCAACAGACATTCATCACGTAGTAGTCTCGTTTTAGTCCATAATCTCTGGCTTGGTAAATATATTTTCAAACAACATCAGTATTTCTAAAATACAGCTGCTAGAACAGTAGGTAAAGAACTTTCGAGAGTTAAATCCTCGAGAAAGCAAATATGAAGAATTCCATAGGCAGCGAGATAAAAAGTTTCATCACACCAGATCACAGTCAATACGAAAGGCGAAAAAAGCGATTTTATCATAGGAAAAGGCTACTGTGAACAACATCATTCGATCCTTCTTTATCATTCTAACGAACTATCAAACAGAATTCTCTTGCGCCCGAGTAAAATGTGTAAACCGAAATTGCTGCAATGGCTTCTTCTATAGAGCCATCTCAAATTCTTGTAATAAAGCACGATGAATTCATGAATAGTTGTATCATGATGATTAGCGGAAGTGGAGTCAAACGCTGAATGCAGCACAAAGAAGCGCACATTTTTGTCCCAAATGATAAGACAAGGAAAAATTTTAGCGGGGTAGGTGAGCCGATCAGACCTGACGTTCATATCTACTCGAAAACTGCTCCGGAGATCTCGGTCACTTCTTAATTACACAACTCTCTCAGTCCACCCAATAGCGAATGATACGTAGTTTATCATAGGCATGACAAATCACGGAGCATTGTTCGAGCTCATCTTCGATCCAAGAACACAGTCAGGTTAAAGACAGCTTCGTAGAGGAGTGTAACGGAAGCGTCCTGTTTAAGGAATACGTGGTACCGATTTTTTGTGGTGCGTTTTTAATCAAAGGGAGACTTAATGAGTCTGCCTCAAAAACCTGAGCTGAATACGCGTAAAAAATGATGTTCGCCTTAACGCCGAGGTGGTGGCTGGTCAGTGGTCAAAGCAAAGATAATGATAAAGTAGCCGCGAAGAAGATGCTAAATGTGAGAAGCGCGAGCGATGAGAAAAGCGAAATAACTTGAACTTGTTCTTCAGATGTAATGCGTTTGATGCGTCATGCACACACATGAAAATACGCAGAATCCTCATTCTTCCCGTCACGAAGTCAGCGAGTCCGCTAAATTTTGAGGGACAGCTGCTCGGCAATCCCGATATTCTTTACTGCCTCTTTAAACTCCTCGTAGCTGAGCTTCCCATCGTAATCCTTGTCCGCTTGTACCTGGAGAATGAAGCATTGGATCAACGGGTCCGCTCAAAGTCCGCGCAAACTCACCGCTTAAGCGAGGCAAAGCTTAAGTGATGTAGTCACTACCTAAGCGAAGCAGAGCTTAAGTGATGAAGTCACCATTTGCATTTAAGCGACGCAAAGCTTAAGCGACGTTGTCACTACTTAAGCGAGGCGAAGCTTAAGTGATGCAGTCACTACTTAAGCGAAGCAAAGCTAGAGTGATGCAGCCACTACTTAAGCGAAGCAAAGCTTAAGTGATGCAGTCACTACTTAAGCGAAGCAAAGCTTAGGCGATGCAGTCACTACTTAAGCGACGCAAAGCTCAGGCGATGCGGTCACCACTTAAGCAAAGCAAAACTTAGGCAATGCGGTCACCACTTAAGCGACGCAAAGCTTAGGCCATGCGGTGACTACCTAAGCGACGCAAACCTGAGGCACTTAAGGGCCCCAGAGGCACTTAAGGGTCCCCGTGGCACAGAAGGGACCCTGAGGCACAGAAGGGTCCCCGAGGCACATAAGGGACCCTGAGGCACTTAAGGGCCCCCATGGCACTTAAGGGACCCAGAGGCAGTTAAGGAGACCTACCGAAAGCTAAACGCGTTCCCTGTAAGCCGATGATTATCTGTGTCAATCGCAAGATAGTGACCCTTTACCTTATGCAGGCAGTACTTCAGCGAAGAGGCCCTTAAGTGATGAAGGCATCACTTATATGCGAGAACGAGGCTGGACCGAAACGAGCAATAGCGTAACGAGTCACAGTCACTGCTTTAGAAGAGCCTGAAATACAGTACCAATAAATAAGATGTACCATCTGCCTATCAACAAGCTGCTGCAGCTGCTCCTGAGTTAAGTTATCGCCGACCATCATTTTCATCACGCAAAAGAGGTCGCCGTTTGATATGTACCCATCCTTGTTTACCTAAATAGTTGCATTAGGAAAAAAAATTGAAATGAGCGGTAATCATCATCTCAAAGGGGTAAAGTTTAATATTTGTTCCTCGAGATTGTGCTTAGGCAATCAGCACGATTGTGCCTTCTGCCTTTCTTGAAGCGTATCTAGTGCCGAGAAAAGAGATCACATCATGTTAGGAGAAAAAAGATGAACTCATACCACAGTACCTGTTTGTTACACAACAGAAAATAAAATGTACACGTTCGTATAGAAGTACGTCGTATATGTTGAAGGCGAAATCGAGTTTGTGCTCTTCTGACGTCCCTGATGCTAGCTTCGCGAGACCGACAAGAAACTCTATGAAGCTAACACTTCCGCTGTTGTCGGAGTCGAAGACTTGTATCACCCGCTGAACTAGGGGATTTTCGTTCAGCTCCGCTACTGAAAAAATTTCTGCTGGATCGAGCTGGCTGAAGTTGCGGACGATCATGTTGATACACATAACCAGTTTTTCATGGCGGCTTTAGTACAAATTGCAGCAAGTTGTATATCCATATTAAACACAATCAGGAGCAGACAATGTTTTTTCCAGACCAAGTTAGGAGTTAATGCATCGTTATCCCACACGACAAAGCAAAACGTGAATATTGCTATAAAAATTCAACAGACTACTTCGTGGTTGACTGTAGTACCCGCTTCCATCTGCATCAAGCGCTCGAAATCGGTTGTAAAGCCTTTTTACGTCTTTTTCGTTGAACGACGCGATCCCGTGAATTTCCTCGCGCGAAAGCGCGGATGCATTTGCTGCGTTCCCCATTTTTTCGGAAATGCCTGCGTTGCCTGTGTTGGGTAATCTAGCTCCCCGGTGCCTGATAGGCGATGGTGCGCGAATATCTATTAGGGCGGTTCACCTTCACCGGCAAACTTTTTGCGACTGCTAGTCGTCCGACCTCGTTTCTCGCCTCTCGCAGATGAACCGCTTTCGGTCGCCTTAGGGCGATCTACTTGCTCGCCCGAGCGCCGTTGCTCTCGTCATGCCTCTTCTTCTTTTTGAATACTTCTTGTACTAAATTTTCAATGTTTTGGCTGTCCTACTGTGATGTTGAAAAGATAAAAACTCAGATTTGATGTACGACTTTCCTATACTTTCCTATCACGTTCTACATTACAATTACAAATTTTTTTTCGAATCGTTCGACGCACCAGCTGGGGTGGGCGCAAAGAAAGCATGCATTTCACAGACGCAAAGAAAAAGACAGCACATTAGTGTAAGAGCTAGACTAAGTCAATACATGCCGGCAGTGTGATCGCACTTAATCAACAAGGACAGCTTACAGAAAAGATAAAGTAAATTCAAGCAGACAGAAACGAGCCAGAGAGCTGAAATACAGCGTGAAGTTAAGCTAAGTACAACGGTAAGAAGTTGCGAAAACAAGATGCGATATCGACTGGAAGGTCTCGAAATGCGTGATTAAGTTTCAACTGCGACGACATACGATTTTTTTCCTATATGTTTTACGAATCCGTGTCTTTTTTACTGAAGGCCACTTTTTTAAGAGGCTGTAGACCTCTGTTAGTACAACCACTTCACAAAAACGTGCGTACTCTCTCGGGTACTGAAAATCAAACAAACGCAAATTTTTGATGGGAGACGACCAACATTTTTTCTTATACAGGGGGAAGCCCGATGCTCTCTAACGCTCTACAAGTATCAAAAGTGGACAGATAATTGACTTCGAGGCACCTCCTTTTTCCTATCCAAGGCCCCAGGCTTCGAAAAGGGGTCGTGGGAGCTGGGCATAGAGAGAACAACATGGAATAAATGCTTTCCTGCAGGTTCTGTCCAGGTGAGAGTCGGACTCTCATCCATCAGCGTCACGGAGTTTCGGGCACTTGTTCACCTCACTATGCAGAAAATCGTGATACAACATGCTTGGTGTTTTACTTGGTGTTTTATATTCATGAGCAGAGATAAGGGAGAGGAGGATCTAAATCACGTCGGGGGAGGTGTTTTATAATTACATCGATGTCTGGCTCGTCTTCATCTATACTTCATCTAGATCTGTGAACTAGAGAAGCGCTTCATATTACACGAGTGGGGGGAAGTTCCAAAATATTCGTAGGCTTCATGCTGATGACACGCTCACGATATATTTTTAAACATTCCTCGTCGGAGTTTTATCTTTCAGCGCTTCATCATGTAGTCTTTTTTCATATGATATTCGGACCTATGTTACATGATACCACAATACAAGTCGAAAGTAGATGCGGGTGCACATTCGATGTCTTTGAAATGGAAAATAGACAGCTGGCCGAGCAGCTGCGTTAGGAGTAAGTAGGTTCGTTGTTATGAATAGAGGTATTCTGGGTCGATCACATTTTCTGGTGACAACTGCTCGATCACGTAGAACAGGCTTCCCCTTGCTGGTATTTGCACGGAAAAATCAGTGAAGCTTCTTTGTTCTTCTCCAAATTGTTGTAGTGCTGGTGCGCTCCCTCGCAGAAATTTGTTGTCGTCGCCCCGTTCCTGCGGTGCTGTTACTTTGATTCTGTCCTCTTGCAAGTCACGCGGCTCTGAGCGCAGGCGACGCTTCTCTGAGACTGATGACAATTCTTCTGCTTTTGCCCAGACTGTAGTAGAAGTTGTGATCTCGCGATAAAAACGAGTGTTGCGTTTGTTCTTTGCTATCACTTTCACGTCCTCAGCATCGTCTTCAGTATGTTGTATGGTCTCTGCTGGAATTGATCCTCCCCACACATCGAAGACGCCGTAACGCACTGAGCCGGAAGGGGTAGAGTCTCGGAAGATCTGGGCCATGACAGCTCCACTGAAGTTAAACGTGTGGTCCTCAGTCCCATCGCTGTTGATCAACAGCACCGCTTGTCGCCCTGTCACAGTAGTGGCGGCGGGCGCATCTGACACTTTAGCGGCGCGCGCTGAAGCCAAGGCATCGTTCAAAATTTGCAAATGCCGTTCGTCAACGTCATCCTCATTTCGTGTTGAACTAGGAGCTTCCTGGCCGCCAAACGGTGCCTGTTGATATCCTCCTTGAAGATTCAGCGCACTATCAGTGCCGACGGTTGCCGCACCTGACGTGGGCAATTTCTTAGCCCAGAGCTGAAGTGTGTTTGCGCCCATGGGCGCGCTCGTCTTCACCGCCACGCAGTGCCGGGACAGCGGCGCACCGACTACGCTCGTGCGGTAAAGGCGTCCAGAGAGTGCGTTCAGCGACAGTTCCGCTGCCTCCTCTGCATCGCAGGTGCCCAAGCGGTAACCGTATGAAATGTCCGAATACGTGAACGGCTGTAAGCATGCTTCTTCTTGCTCTGGTTCGTTTTCCGACGTACCGGATGGCTTGCGAACAAAGCGGCCCTCTGCGTCGTAGACAAAACTTGGCGTGAAAGTCGTGCATTCTCGTAAGATTGCCAGTTTCGGTGCCGTGCCGGATTGTGTATCAACACAAAATTCCTCCTTACTCTCCCGGGAAGCGCGCCAGCGTGGTTCTCGATTTTCGGTCAAAAACCAGCCTTCTTGCTCACCGGAAAAGTTGTCGCATGCCCCCGCCCACATGAAGAGAGCTGAAGTTTTTAATTCAGATCGGAGTTCATGAAGACGAAGAGCAGGTGAAAGTGCTGAATCAGCGCCGACCTTAAAAAAACTCCAATACCCAGCATAAAATTTTTGTAAGTATCTGTAGCCACGTCTTTAAGGAGTCGTGGTCGTGATCCTTTTGATGTTAACTTCTATTGCATATGCAAAACAAAGTTGAAGAAGTTCTTTCAGTTTGATTCTCAAATACTTGCCCCGGCATTCGGCTCCCAAGAGTACACGAGGCGACCACGATCTCCTGCCCACAGCTGGTTGATGCTGATAGCGATTTGATTGGTCACTACTGATTTGACAGCTGGAGTAAACTTTTTCGTGTCTGTCAAGTCGAAAGATAGAACCAGCGGACTGCTCGTGACACACCATGCTCCAAAATTTGTTCTATCAAAATTGTCGGCTGCGCTCGTTTTCGCCAAGGATGTTGAAGCAGCTGCCAGAGTCGTGCCCTCGCTCTTGTTTGACAACGCCTTTCGTTCTTGCGCCAGTGTTTTCTGATCGAAGATTTCATTCTTGGTAAAATTCCATGCAGTGGCACTATTGCCGACTTCCAGCATATCGGGATAGGCCCAACATCCCGGTCCACTATAGCTTGCCAAGTTCAGGGACTAATATTAGACTATCTTCAGTCATGATAATGATCCATTTTCAGTCGCAAGCGCTAAGAGATAATTCTTTCCCTGTGCTGCTGGAAAGCAATTCTTTATGCTTCCTCTTTCTTAGAACGTTATCTATAAGGACAACAATCGAGGTAAAAAATGGATGCTGAAGACCAGGTGATTAGCACTTTCTGCAGCCTTAATGGAGATTGAGGAACATCGCCTCCCAAGTTGGACGAATGTCAGGTCCGGAACGTGCGAAATGATACGGACACTGATCGCCGTGCGCCAGGTCTGCTCCCCAATGACAGTTTTCGATCACAACTGATGTGATGAAATTTGTACCATGAAAGTAGGCATAGCTGTGTCCTTTTCAAATACTGATCTTCTTTCACACAACTGCCCTTTTTGTCCTCCTCGACAATTATAATTATCTGCGCAAACAAGAGTTGTACGAAAGAGCTTTCTAGTACTTTTTTTGTCGAGATTTTGAAAGCCGCGCAAATACGCAGGTAAGTCAGTTTTTTGACCGCATCCATCTAGTTTTATGCCGTCGAAGCCCAATTCGATGGTCTTCTTCACGTCTCCTCGAATTTGCTTCTGCGCCAAATCTTCGGGGAGGCCGTTCTCTGCACATATACAATTGTTTCCATACCTAGATGTAGAGGCGAAGCAAATGCCTAGTCATGAATACTGAGGAGCCTATGGAGATGTTGATCTAGGATGTCCCGTCCACTATACGATAAAATAGGAGATGCTTTGCTCGAGCACCAATCAAGAAGTATCCCCGACACAATAAGCAAGATCCAACAGCAACAAAAAAGGACGGAGAAGCACCATCCCATCGTCAGGTTGTTCGCGTGCGCACTGCTGACTAGGGATTTCATGTCTGGAAAGCGGTCCGCGTTGATGATTGGCATGCCATTTTCTTAGTGGTTGCTCTATTGCATTCTTGAGAACATCCTTGGCTCCTTTCCTATCAGACAACATGTCAAGAACGTTAGTGCAGGTTGCAATGCGGAAACCCATAATTTGCGTCATGGAAGCCACCGCCGACTCCCGCACCGCATGCCTGCCAGTTGTCATCCAAGCCGATGTCCGTGTAGCCGAATGGCGCCAGCTCGGTTGCCAATGTCCTGATGCATTTTTCGAGTCTTAAAGCTGTTCATAGTGTCCTATCGTCCCGGTGAAGTATTTTCGTAGTTTTTTCATTGGATAAATAGCCTGGAAGCAAGAATGGCTCTCGCCATTGTACGAGTAGCCCTAAAAGTAGTGGCTGCGTTACGTGGTCTGCGAATGCGTTCCAGGTGCGCCAGCCCATGGGAGGCCGCCGAGCCAACCCATCATCCAGCGCCACTGGTCCAGCAGGCCAAAGGAGGCAAACCAGAAGAAAGGATGAAGTGTGGAAAAACGCCATATTTTTTGTCCCAAAATTCCTATTTTATTGCCTCTGCCTGAAAAAAGAAACAAGTCAGGAGGTTGATGTTCTTCTTTGTTGTTCAAGTAAAAAAAGCAAGCTGAAGCGGCTGACACGCATGAGGTTTTTTTTCCCTCAGTCTTCACTCACTAACCTGTCCGGGTAGACGTACGTATTACGCTATCACACCGATCAACATATGTCCAACTCTTCGCTACCAGGTCGGAGCTATATGAGGCTTTGGTAGCAAGATTCCGAGGCAGTTGCCCCTCTCTACTCCCCGACTGACGTTCACTGCATTCAGCCGCCCCTTGCTTCATTCTTCGCGATTTTTTATGCCAGAAAAGAAAGTCGTGATCTCATTTTTTCCTCACGTTTAACGTTTTTTCCATGGCGCTAACAAACGTCAGAGGAAGTCCTGGGAAAGCCTCATCGGGGTTATTCACCCACCTTCGCACATGATCCTCGTGAGACTATTCTTGTTACACGCCATCAAAGCAGCTGTAAACGAAAAAAGAACATTTTGGACGAAAATCATGCGGGATACTCTTGCAGGACGTTAATCAAAATTCATGCCGCAACGGACGCGGGGCAGTTCGCTCCATATCGTACTCTTATATCTCTTCAATGATGTCTCTGCGTGGTCTTCAGTGCAACTAATTATTGTTTTGGGCATAGCTATGCGTACCATGCCACTGTGCATGATCGGAAGTCAGATGCGTGTTTCTTCGTAAGGGCTTAAGGGTGGTGAAGACGGCAACACAATCTTTCCTTTGCTCGTTTATGGCGTGAATGATGTAGCTGAAAAACCTGCTGGGGGATCGGTTCTTTTAGCAAGCGTGGCCGCGAAGTGTAGCGAGTGGTCCGTGTGCTCTGTCGATCTTCTGCTCGCAATGACCGACAACGCCTTCAAGACCAAAACGGATCCGGCCCCGGCCCCTCTTGGGGAAGTGGACGGCACACCGGCGGACACGATTTGCGGCACTCCGGGCCCCGGCACGTAGCGCGCCGACGGCGCTCCATTTAGCAACGCGGCCCCCCGTAGGCCTTGGGCACCAGAGCAACACGAGCCACCGACTGCGCGAAACTGGCCGGCTTGGCGCGCTCGGGCCCTACGGGGGGGTAGTCGGGGCGACGTCATTCGCTAGAGGGTCCTGCGGGAAAACTTAGGTGGGCTTTGCTCGATGGACTAAAAGGCCCACTAGATTCCCGATCCTTCCGGCCCTGCAAAGGTGACCGGGGAACCAGGGCGGAACTCTCAGGAGGCCCATGAGATGCCGCGGCCTCCCTTGCAGGGGCGGACGGGTCAGGAATCTAGTGGGGGTTTCGGCTCATAAAACAAAACCCCTATAAGTTTCCCTATAGGGTCCTTCTGAGGGCGATATCGCCCTTCAGGGGGGAGGGTAGGTGGGTAAGAGGTTGGGGAAGTGCGTGGGTAAGTGAAACTGGGGAGGGTGCTCTTCTTTTGTATCCCCACCAGAATAAGCCCACAGCCCTTGCGCCCCCCTCTAGATTCTGAGCCAAAGAAACCGAGCGGAGCGCTTCTCCTTTTTGTCCCCACTGAAATAAGCCCGCAGCCTTAGCGCCCTCCCCTAGATTCTGGCCCGGAAAAAGTTGCCAAGTGGACCCTTTCGCCGTTAAGGTCAGGCTCGCCCTCTATACCGTCCTGCGGGAAACTAATGCAGAGAAAACGCGGGCACGCTGGACCCCACTCGCGACCCGCGTGGGATCTCCATTAGATAAGAATCCGCCGGCTCCCCTTCCTACTGAAAGCTCAGCCGAGGCCAGCGCGGGGTCGCACTAGATTCCGCGGCGCGTTCTTCTTGCGTGCGAAGCTGATGCGAAAAACCTGGCTCCCGCCATTAGATCGCGAGCAGGCTGCGCAACTACCTGAAGAGTGTGACTCCCTCTTTGACTCTCTCCGAGTCAGGAACCTGCCGCGACCACTTTAAGAGTTCGCCTCTTTTCGAAGCCATGACTGCCCGCGGTCGAGCGGTCGCCTGTTTTCGGGTTGCGAAGCTGATGCGCAAAACCTCGCTTCCGCCATTAGATGGCGCGTAGTCTTCGCTACTACCTAAAAGGTGCGGCCTTCTTCGAGTTCGGAAGGTTATCCCATTAAAAAGCCGCCTTTTTTGGCGGCCTTGAGTCGAGGACAGACGCGCGCCGCAGAGCTGCCGAACAGCCGGCCCGCGATAAGTCGAGAACAGACGCGCGCCGCAAAGTTGCCCAGACCTCACAGCCGGCCCGCGATAAGTCGGCGAGCCGATCACAGACGAGCAGCCCAAAGCCGCCCCGCGATAGGTCGATAACAGACGCGCAGCGCGAAGCTGCCTAGCAGCCTGCCCGCGATAAGTTGATAGCGGACGCGCCGCGCGGAGTTGCCTAGCAGCCGGCCCGCGATAAGCCGATAAGAGACGGGGAGCCCTGTGCAAGTCTGAAGCTCTCCGGGGTTTGGGGAGACACTTGCGCCCCATCGGAGTCCCCCCCGCGGAGCTTTTATGTAGAACCGCCACGGGGCAGCGCTTCCCCGGTTCCCTTTTGGATTTCTTCGCCCCCCCTTCTCTTCATTTACTTCCCCCGATCCTGCCCAAGGCGCGGCCGCAGTTTGCTCATGCGCCGTCCCTTTTGCCATCCGTTTCGCGCCTTGTCTTCTCTTCGTCTCTGTGCTTTTCTACCATCTGGCTGCCTTTTTGCTGCAGCTGGACAGCGATCCCGGGACACAGAGCGGGCATCTCTTGCCGCCTCGGTCCTGCGTGTGGCTCACTACGACGCGAAGGCCCCGGGCGGGGGTGGCTTGGGCGGTGGATGCTTTGGCAGTCTTGTGCCGGAAATGATTTCGGCAGGTTCTTAATCAGCGGCCAGTAGTACCATTCGCAGCCGAGTAATTACCATGCGCCAACTGGATTCCGCGACGAATAAAATCCGGCAGCGATCCCCGCGAAACTCTTAGGCGAAACCGTTAAGAGACAGCGTCGCCCCGGTTCCCTTGTCGATTTATCTGCCCCCTTTTCCCCCCGTTTGCCTCCCCTGGTCTTCTTCAAGGCGCGGCCGCGTTTTGCTCTTGAGCCGCCCGCTTTTTTATCGGCTTCGCGTGCTGTCTTCTCTTCATTTCTGTGCTTTTCTGGCGTCTGCTTATCGGTTTCGCCTTGGCTGGGCAGCGATCCCGGGATACAGAGCGAGCATCTCTTGCCACCTCGGCCCTGTGTGTGGATCACTACACCGCGGAGGCCTTGGCCGGGGGTGGCTCGGGCGGTGGATGCTTTGGCAGCCTCGCACTGGAAAGCTTTTCGGCAGGTTTTTTTACCGGCGGCCTATGGTGCCACTTGCAGCCGGGTAGTTATGCCGCGCCCACTAGATTCCGCGAGGAATAAGATCGGGCGGCAATATTAAGCCACTGCCTTACCTCGGCCGTTTTTGTTTTTTATTCTATGCTACATTCGGGACCGAGTTCCTTGGTTTGTTGTTTTTAATCAGCTCGCCGGGCGGCTTCGGCGTCCGCTTAATGACACTGGCGCAGCTTTATTCTAATGCAATCCCCCCGAAACCGATACCCGCACGAAGGTCGAAACCATTAAGGGGGGACATTTCGCGAATTCGAAACGGCTAAGGGACTCGCAAAACGGTCAACAACCTGGCAGGTTTTTCGCGAGAGCTTTCGCGGCTTTTTCGTTGTTATATGCTTTGGCTTTTTTCCTATTTGCGACAAAAAGCGCCGCAGCGTGCCGCAGAGTCTGGCGCGAGGTTTTATCGAAGCGCCGCCACGTGGAGACCGGTGAGGCCTCCCGTCTGTGGCCAATCTTTTGGAAGAATATGAGGAAGCGAAACCGATAAGGAGAGCCGGGAAAACCTTGCGGCGATTTTTGTCGGAGACGTTGCGGCGGTCCTTTTCTTTTTCGTCTTCTTTTTGTGAATATTTAAGGGCATTCGAATACTTTGCGAATGTTTGAGAATATTTGGAGAATATTCGGGAATATTCGCCGAATATTTGCGAGCATTTTTCTAAGTGCGGGAATAGTTTTCGGGTGAATATTTTAAAATAAGGCGAAACACTGCGCACGCAGTTCATACCATGCGGGAACTGAACTGCGTAAGAGGCTCCGGACATGCTCACGCGGTTCCGCGGTCAGTTCTTCTCATGGGGCTATCTGAGCGAGCTGAACTGAAGACGCTTCCCATTAAGATGCAAGGCTTTCTTTTAAGCGTTTCTTTTTTTTTTTTAATGGGAAGCGTATCCATATACGAGGGGCAGAGGGTTGCCTTGCTGGGCTGTTCGCGCTGGATTATGCGGCGCCCACCAGCGCAGCGCGGCGCGTCGTCCCTCTGGCGGCTACGGCCGCCAGGGACGAGGGGGCAGAGGGTAGCCTTGCTGGGCTGTTCGCGCTGGATTTTCCGGCCCACACCACGCGCCCACCAGCGCAGCGCGGCGCGTCGTCCCTCTGGCGGCCGTGGTAGGCCGCCAGGGACGAGGGGGCAGAGGGTAGCCTTGCTGGACTGTTCGCGCTGGATTATCCGGCGCACACCACGCGCCCACCAGCGCAGCGCGGCGCGTCGTCCCTCTGGCGGCCGTAGGCCGCCAGCGACGAGGGGGCAGAGGGTTGCCCTGCTGGGCTGTTCGCACTGGCTTATGCGGCGCACACCACGCGCCCACCAGCGCAGCGCGTCGTGGGCCGCCAGAGACGAGGAGGCAAAGGGCTGCCTTGCTGGGCTGTTCGCGCTGGATTATGCGGCGCACACCACGCGCCCACCAGCGCAGCGCGGCGCGCCGTCCCTCTGGCGGCCTACGGCCGCCAGGGACGAGGGGGCAACGCGTGACCATCTCGCCCCCCGCCCCCCTTGTACACCCCTCGAAACCGATACCCGCATGAAAGTCGAAACCATTAAGGGAGGACATTTCGCGAATTCGAAACGGCTAAAGGACTCGCAAAACGGCCAACAACTTGGCAGATTTTTTGCGAAAGCTTTCGCGGCTTTTTCGTTGTCGTAGGCTTTGGGCTTTTTCCTATTTGTGACAAAAAACGCCGCAGCGTGCCGCAAAGTGTGGCGCAAGGTTTCACCGAAGCACCGCCACGCGGAGACCGATGAGGCCTCCCGTCTGTGGCCAATCTTTTGGAAGAATGTGAGGAAGCAAAACCGATAAGGAGAGCCGGCAAAACCTTGCGGCGATTTTTGTCGGAGACGTTGCGGCGTTCTTTTTCTCTTTCGTCTTCTTTTTGTGAATGTTTAAGACTATTCGAATACTTTGCGAATATTTGGGAGTATTTAGGGAATGTTTGGGAATATTTGCCAAATATTTGCGAATATTTGCGAATATTTTTGAGTGCGGGAATAGTTTTGAGCGCGGGGAGATAGTCTCCCTTTTTTAATGGGAAGCGTCTCCGCGTCAGCTCGCCCAGGTAGCCCCATGAGAAGAACTCACCGAAATAAATTTTGCGAAGCGGTGGGCTTCCCGTGTGTTTGTGTGCTTGAGGGTGAGAGCAAGCGATGCCAGCAAGCGTTAGCCTAGGCCTAGGAGTTAAATGCTTTCATTTGTCAGCCCCAGAGAAAAGTAGAATATTTTTCATTTTCTACGCCCGTAAAAGTACACTTTGAAGCACTAAAGCAGTAAACTCGTCGAACATTCAAGCAGGAAAGTAACTCGCTATCTCGGCTCTTTCTGCCCTTGTCCACCAGGAGAAACAGAGCAACAAAGTAAAACTATAACGCTAAAACTCTAGATATCTTCGTTTGTCCGTCCTAAAAGTAAGCACTTTCGCGCTTTCTACCCCTGTAAATTGTATTTCGGTGCACTATTCTACGAAACTACCCAAATGAGTAAAAGAAATAAGCAAGTAGATGACTTTTCTTCGGTCCTGTCCTGCTGTAGAGTAAGAACGTGAAGAGGCGGAAGACTATAAATGACTGGGCTTGCTGGCATCGTCTCGCTCGTCACTCGGAGGAGGAAAAGAAGGCGATGAGGAGGAGGAGAGAGAGTAAATACAAAGGGGATAAAATTAGTCGTGCCAAATCCACCACTACCACCACCAAACCAGTAAAATCCGGCCTTTCTTGTCTTTCCATTGAAACCACAGGTTCCTGCTATGATCATACCAAGGGTATGAACATAGCGACGGAACCAAAAAACTCGCCCCCAATAAATAAGTAAATACTTGCTTCTGCGAACGGTTCGAGCGGTTGATGATCACCCACGGATCCACCTGAAAACGAGGATCAGACGAAACGCAGGCACCAATCGAGTACGAGATCGAATGGGGCTCAGTCTCCACGCGGCCAGTGCCATCGCGGACGCTGTTCCCAGGCAGAACGATCGTCTGAGGGCGAGACGTAATGCCACGCATACCAGTTTCGTCGAAGTTGAGCAGAACGTACTTTTTTCCTGCTCCGCGCTGCTGCTTCAACTGCTCGAACTGCTCCCAAGACTGATAGACTTGGCGACGAAGGTTCTGCCCATTACGACGCCCGCGGAAACGAGGAACCGTACGCAGCAGACGAAGGTCCCAGCGGTTCAAGAACTTGTGAGTCCAGCTGTTTGCCGCACTGCTGCCAATGCCTTGGCGTTGATCAAAATAGTCACTAACACCTTCAGCGCCCAGACGTCGAATGAAGTGCTCCTGAATCTCATCAGTCGTGCAGGCACGGTTGCGAGCACGGACCCAAGTTGCAGTCTCACGCTCTGCAGCTTCGATTGCGCGCCCACGAGTAGTGCGGTTGCGGGCAACATAGGGAGCTGGGCCACTTCTGCGCAAAGCTTGAGTATATCCACGAGCATTGATGAACCAGCCACGTTGAGCACCAGGACGAGGCCCAACGGGAACGTGCTGGCTCTGCTGACGTGATACACGAGGTGGCATTTTTACTTTTTGTTCTGCTTCCTTACTCCTCGAGCATCGCCTGGCTTTGTTCCCTTTCCTTTTTTCTCAGGCACCCGTCCGTCAGCACTCAACTCAACGTCCTCAACAGCAGTCCCTTCGTCCCCTACAAGGCTAGCGTAGTCAGCAGCTTCGATGCTCCCAAAACCTTGCCCAGGAGGAGCCACTTCACCGTGCAGCGCCTCGCGAGCAGATTCGACGAGACTCGAAGGCAACTGCTCGTCACGACTGCCGCCAGCGCCTGTCAGAGGATTGATGTACCCAGACACCTCCTCACGCCCTAGCGACGACGAAGTGTTCTGCTGCTTCAGCAGCTCTTGCCGCTTCTTGGCCTTCTCGCGTCGCTCTCGAGCTTTCCTCTCGTCTTCAGCTAGTAGCAGCGACTCTTCGTGGCCTAGTACCTCCACAGGTCTTCCTGCGCAGAGCGAAAGCTGCCGACTGCTCTGGGCACGCAGTTTTAAATCCGTCAGCTTGTTGCGCGCTGAAGCTTTTTCGTCCGCTTTCTGGCGAGAAGCTGCCTTGGATTTCTGCTTGCGCAATTCTGCGATGTCGCCACGCAGTTGCTCAACTTGGCGTTCGCAGCGCTTCAGCTCGGCTGCTGTATTAGAACCGAAGCTAACTCATCTCTTTTTCCATAGAGCAACTCAGAGACGGTGTCTCAGTATGCCTATACTGAGACACGCGCCTCATTGACCTCATCGAAATAAGTTAGCAGATGGCACAGCCTTAACTTTCTGCTCAATCCGTAGTGCCAAGAACTCACGCCCACTGAAGTCCATTATTCACCGAAGCTCCGAGCGCTTCCTGCTTCGAATAGAGGAACGTCTCAAAAAATTTGAAGAAGTGAAGATGCTCACAGAAAAAGTGAAAAGGTGCTGAAGCTACTCGAATGCAAGTGAAGTATGGATGTCTTTTGCCGATCACAAGTTGCGCAATGTAAAGAATATACCAGACTACCAGTCTTTGATCTCAGATGCAAGCTGTAAAGGTTATTGTCTACTTTTAACGTAAACGCCCTTATTGGTCCCTGCACAAATTAAGTTAGATAAATCAACTTGCTCAATTCAAAAATGACCGCGGTCAAAAAAGTAGAAGGTCGGGGAAGCCAGGCACTGGGGAGAACATGCGCTCTCTCTCACAGATCCATATACTTCGGCTGCGTTCAGGGACCTTCTAGCACACTCTCATAATTATTCTCTCACTCATAGATCTACTTTCTTGCGCTTGAGCTCTCAGCTCCAGATCTTCACACAATTGAACGAGGATCACTAAAGTGGATCTCGGGGCCTACGCCTGCTGGAACATTACGCCAAGAGGCGACGAGATCTTCTTTGATGGGTCGCAGTAGCTAGCTTCAGATCTTTACAGAAGTTGCACAAAATATTTGGAATGCTCGGCTTTGAAGATCTCACTTTTTTACAGATTAATTTTCAAAGTTGTCTCATACTACTCTTTATACATATTTCAAGTGTACACTTAGCTTAATAAATTTCTCATACGATCACAACTCTATCAATCAGGAGTGGGCCACCAGAGACCACCCTTGTCGCTGTGCGCGGCACATGCCCAGCACTTCTCATCTTCATCTTCAACCGGAGCAGGCGCTGGCTGAATCTCAATCGGAGATGAAGAAGTCGCAACGACCTCGCCCGAAGCAGCCGGAGCTTCATCAACTAGACGAAGAGACTGCAGCGGTCTCGCCTGAACCTGCATAAACGAGACCAGGCAAAACCGCCTCATCGTCCGAAGTCGATGTGATCACAATCGGCTCATCCGAGTCACCGAACAGATCTCCACTAACGTTGCCGCATGGCGCGCCCGCCCTCAGCTGTGCTTCTTCGTCTCGTGTTAGAGGAGATAAGACGTTCTCTTCGTCTGAGTTCGATGAGCAGTAGACGACCCCTTCCTGCGCAAGGTGGCTGCGGCGAAGCTCGTCATCCTCTCGGCGCTTCTCCTCCAACAGTTGCGACTGCATGGCCAAGTGATCTAGGTGCGCCATCAGTTCCACCGTCTGCTTGTTGTACTCCTCTTCGATGGCCTCAAGCTCGCCACGGTTCGAAGCGATTTCAGAACGCAGCTTCTCCTTTTCTGCGATCTCGTCGCTGAGTTTGATCTTGAGGTCCTTGTTCTGTTTTGTTGCCTCCTCCAGAGCGGATGTGAGGCTGTTCACCGTCTCCGTGCGATCCATCTTAGCCGCCACAGCTTCCAGCTCTGCCTTGTGCTTTTTCGACAACTCCGTCTGCTGTGCCGCCAGCACCTTCACCTCCGCCTCAAAGCGATCAGCTCGCTCACCTTCATGCTTCACACTGGCCTCAAGCGTCTTCACCTGTTCGCCTAGAACAAGGGACTCATCGGCCAGATCGGTTCTGCGCTGCTCATGGGTCAGCTTGACGAGCTCCACATCATTTCGCGCACGAGCCCATGCTTCACGCAGACGCTCGTCCGCACTACGAAGCTCATCGCGAGCTTTCCGCAGATCATCTAGTCGCCCCTGCGCCAGCTCGTTAGACCGCTGCAAAGCTGCTCGTAGCGACGTGAACTCCGCATCCGCTGCAGCCTTGTGCACACGGGCATCCTCTTCGCACTTGCGCGCCAACTGCATATCTGCCTCAAGCGCCTGCAAAGATTGCTCTTTCTCCTTGGTCTCGTTTTCCCAGTACGTGCTGAACTTGCGCACTTCATCCAGCTCCGCCTTTGCGTCTTGCAGTTCCTTCTGCGCGACTTGAAGCTTCTTTTGCTCAGCCGTTGTTGCGTTCGTTGCAGCCCAATACTTCTCATAGAGCATGCTGATTTCGTTGCTCTTTTTCTGCAGTTCGCTCACTTGCACAGACGGGACAGCAGTTGATCGCGATGTCTGAGCAGTTGTCAGGTCAGCAGGCTGACTGCTCGAGGCGCCGACTGGCCTCGCGAATTGCGAAACGCCCGTAGTACCTGTTTAATATTTCTACCCATGAAGAAAACGACTTGGGTACTAGTCAAGTTGTATTTTCTGACGCATACGCTATTTTTTTAATGCACAAGCAACCACACATATCCAGCCTCGAAAAACACTATATCAAGAAGCTCCTGGAGGTCCATGCCTGTTCACACCCGAGGCTGACGCATTAGACGCAAGCTGGTTGGTCGTGTATGGTCCTGGGCGCGACAGCGTAGTGTTTGCTACACCATAGCGATTATGCTGCTGAACGCCCGCCTTCGGCTGTTGAGAGCCCGCTTGCGGCTGCTGAAAGCTCGCCTTCGGCTGTTGAAAGCCTGCCCTCGGCTGTTGAGAGCACGTCTGAGGCTGCTGCAGTCCCGCCTTCGGCTGGTGACTTCCCACTGATGGCTGTTGATGGCCAGCCTTCGGATACTGAGTGCTAGCAAGAGCAGCAGCCTGGCCCTGCTGCTGAATCATCTGCTGTTGCTGATACAGCTGCTGCTGCTGCTGCTGCAGCACCCGCAGCTGTGCTGCGACCTGCGCGGCGAGTGCATTCTGTTGATGGGACATTTTTTTGAAAATTGAGCTTATTCAACAGAAACCCCCATCATAAAAACATACTTTGCTGGATTCAGGCCACGACAAACGGAAATGCGTACTGAGCTCATTCAACAGAAATCTTCATCATAAAAACATATCTTGCTGGATTCAGGCCACAAAAGGAAACTCGTCTTGAGCTTATTCAGCAGAAATCTTCATCATAAAAACATATCTTACAGGATTCAGGCCACAAACGGAAATGCATCCTGAGCTTATTCAACAGAAACGTCCATCATAAAAACGCATCTTACTGGATTCAAGACACAAACGGAAATACATCTTGATGATTGGAAGTCACAAAGTCAAAAAATTCTAAAACTGCGAGATGCGTCGGGAATAGGAGGAAGAGAAAGCGTGGGAGGGAAAGAATCTACCTGAGGTAGGTTCGATTGCAGAAAAATGACCACGGTCAAAAATATGCTTATCCATTCGTCCCGCGATCGACTCGCTCAAAAATAAACACTTCGCTTCTCGTAGACCGTGGGACCGATGGAAAGACAAGCGTCCCGCGATCGACTCGCTCAAAAGTAAACAAATTGTTTCTCGTAGACCGTGGGACCGATGGAAAGACAAGAAGCCCAATTGGCCACATTTCTCATTTTCAATAAACACACCCAAAATGACATAAAAAAAATCTTATCCAAGGTTGAGAAAGTGTTCATAATTATCCATCCTCTCCAACAATGGATGAGCTATATTTTTTGTCATTTTCATGCTGTAGAATATGGCTCATCTCAATTATCAAGAGACTAGCTTAACATGTTTAATTCAGGTGACCCACAAGCCCGTAGACGACGCGGGAGTCACAAACAGCAAGACGGCTAGAATATCAATTAACTAAATTAACTTGGCCCGTGGGACGGAAATGAATGTGGTCCAGCGACTAATAGGTATAAGATGACATAGGACGCATAATTTTACATAAGGTGATGAATTAAAAGTTTTTTTTTCTCTACGTGTGTACCATCTAGAAATGACTACATTACAACTATGCCGGTAATAAGTTTGCTAAGGAGTTATATTTTTATGAATCTACTATAGCTCGTCCTCTGTGTCGTAGTCTTTATTGCCATAAATATCCTCAGCCTCGTCATAGTTACAGGGTGAACGAGCGCCGAATGATTTTTCTGATTCACCATCAAGGTGCTGTTCATCCACGTGCTCCCCTGTATGCGACCTATCGTGGAACGTCGCGTTCATCGAGTCATCAAAGCTATGCTTTTCCCCCTGATTCATCGGGACACAAATAGGGTCGCCATCTATATTAGCAGCAGCTAGATCAATTATCTTAGACCAACAGATAGCACATACAGGAATACGCGGGTACAGCTCCGCACCTGTCACAGCGTCCTCCGGTGGTGTGACACGCTGAGCGCAGTGAAAAACTTTAATCCTGTCCTTCATCTGCTTGTTCTCGCGAGCACATTTCTCCGCAGTATCATAAGTTTTATCTAAACCCGGAACAAGATAGAACATCTCTGTTAGTGTTGCTATAAATGGCGCAGGATAATGAAATGTGTGCATGTCGAACTTCCTATTTGATGGCAGCCCTAAATTAATTACCGGGTCACAAATCATACCCAAGAACCGCTTCCACCAACCTGTTCCCTTCATTTCAGGCGTGGAGAGCCAGTCCTTGATCGTTCCTATGTCCAACTCATCCAACACAAAAGCTAGATTGAGAGGGTGCTTTGATCCTAATCGTTCTAAAACGTACGACCCTTCGCCTGGTTTATCGTACCCGTGCGCCAAGAGGATCTTCTTGAGCGGGTAAGTCGTCCCCCATGACTTACCCGTTCCCGCTGAGCCCTCCATGATGAGAAAATTCCCACGATCTTCTCTTCCCTTCCTCATCCACATGACGAGCTCCTGTGCGAATTTGAGACCATCACCAAACTGCAGTGTGCCCCACTCGATCCAAGCACGGAGGTAGCCGCACGAGTGGCTGTTCTCTTTGTCGTGTTTCTTGTGGTAGTCTCGCACCATGTCCTCGAGTGTCGGCTCCTTCAGAGGGTTGCGTCCTACCACGCTCGCGTAAGCTCGATCGAACTTCTCTCGGGCGCACGGGTTGCCAACATTGAGGTAGGTGTCAAGGCGAGTGTTCGTCTTGGATTCGTCATGCGCTTGCTCGACGCAAGTCCACTGGCGCGCCTCAACCAGGTTTCTAAACTCCACCGGGTTCATCGGTTTACCAACTTCAAGATCAGTCACTTGAGAAGCGATGTACTCGATGGAGTGCCGCACGCAACCCGGCTTGACGTAGTGAGCGATTTCCCCGAATAAATGCGCGCCTTTGCTTCGCGTAGGCTGCGAAATGTAAAACACGCTGTTTGCGAATTTCAGCTCCTTGAAATTGCAATCAAATCCTGCCTTCGCTAGCAGAGAGCGATAAGCGCCCCACCTGGTTTGAGGAAAGAAGCCAAGCTGAAAGGACGTGAAGAGAAAAAATGACTGAAGTCAAAAAAAGGAATTACTTGACGAAGAGTCAATCAGTACGCCATTGAAAGCAACTAGTCCTGTGACAAGATTGCCCATGATAACGCCGTGGCACGAAAGAAAATCAAAGACGAAAATACCTGAAGCGTGACGCGCACGTGATAGCAAGATGCCAGTGCTTTCTGTAAGTTTTCGTTCCGAATTCCTCTCGCCCAACCAGTTCCCGTATCACTGGGTGCCCCGCTGATGGCTTTTTCGTTCGCAAGCTCTTATCCGGGTGATTGCCCTCTACGATTTTTCGAGTAGTATCCATCAACTCGCTCAGAGTACCACCCCAGTTGTGGCCGGTGATGAGGTAGCTTCGCACGCCGTGATGGCCACCACTCTGCTTTGCCTGCTCGTCAAGCACGCTCCCGTCAACACGCGTGCGAACTCCTTCACCACCTTCAGCAGCATCTTCTTCGACTCCGGCCGACGTCTGCATGTTCTGTTGCGTTTTGCCGTCGCACGGCGCGTTCACTCGGAGGCCTGGAAACTTGACACGAAGTAAATCAATGAAGCCCTGCATGGCGTCGCCATCTTCTTCAACATCAACGTCGTCCGTACTGGTGAAAGTGGCGTTGTGCGCGTCTGACGCTTTTCCTGAAGAAGAAGATGATGCTGCTCGCAGACCGAACCTGACGGAAGACGAAGAAGACGAGCTTGTCTCTGCGGGCACTCTGCAAGACGATGAGCGAGCTTGCACAGATGCAGAACAGCTAGACTCCACCGCAGATGGTTGCGAAAGCGCCTCCTGCAGCAGCGACGCCAGTGGAACCTTCTGCTTCTTCATGTATGGCATTGCAGCAGGCGCTTCCTGCTCACGCTTCTTTGAGTGCGCAGCTTGCGCACGATGCAGCTGCTCCACGAAGGCTTTTTTCTCATTCTCAAGGCGCTCGCGCTGAAGCTCCAGCCGCTTCTCATTCAAGGTCGCTTTGCCCAGAACAGCTGCACTTTTCTGCTCCTGCCGCAGTCGCTCTGTTGCAGTGCGAACCGTAGCTGCGTCGCGGCGCCTCTCTATAGCGGCTAGCCTCTCTTCTTCAGCGAGAGCAGCGCGGTGCGCTCGTAGCTCAGCCAGTCGCAGTTTTTCGCTTTTCACCTTTTCCAAGCGTGCTTGCTGTTCATCGCGTTGCAGTTGCCGCTCCTGCTCCTCGCGGCAAAAAGTAGTGAAGATGTCTTGACTTCGTGTTGTATGGCTGTTCTTCTTGAAGTAGGTGAGCGCCTTCTGCGTCATCGTGATACTGTTTGACACTTTTGCATCAGCAAGGACAAGCGCCATGAAGTCCACAAGGCCATTCCCCTGCGTAGAGCATTTGTCCATTGCTTCGCCGAAGAAAGAATCAAGATGCTTGTCGCTGTCGCCAGTAGGATGTCGATGAAGCTCATCATCGTTAGAAGCTGCGGTAGCCGGGACGTGCTGATCCTGCTGGTCGAAAGGATCGTCGGAGCTGCCATCCTCCACCTTCGACTGCGATTTGTCCGCGGTCATTTCTGTCTTCAGACCAGCAGGCGCCTGCTTCATCAGCTTTTGACTTCGAGCCGCAACCTTCTTTGGCGGCGCCTTCTTAGCTGCCATTTTTTTAGTGTTGCCCATCTTCAAAGGCCTGACTACAGTTACCCGCAGGAGTGAAAGCCGCTTGCTACGCGTGTAGTACTACACAAAAGGGCCACCCAATAACAAAGTAACTTTCTATCCTAAGCAAGTAGCGCGATCACTCAGCGAGACAATAGCTGCTCACTCTAGAAGAGCAGGCGCTGCATCTTCAGCGAGATAAGTTCGTGAATAATCAAGACAGAAGCCTTCAGATCACAAGTTATTACAGAAATAGCTATGTTAGATATCATCATTAAAATCTTAGAAGCAGCAGTTATGGGCATGATGCTAAGCCGGAGCAAAAATAGAACATATAAAATTCAAGAAGAGCAAAGCTTTGAGGGGGGCAAGGAAGTACAAGCACGCGAAGATCATAGCATACCGATCACAGATTCAGAGCCACAAACCGACTGCACTCACTCGAGACAGACGGCATCGCAATACCATCGGGAGTAAAAAGAGAGACCGACGGCGTCACTGTGTACCGAACTCCATTAAATTTATGCACTAGAACACAAGCTTCCACGTGAGAGAAAAGAGCTTGCGCGCAGAAAGAATTGATCAGCTTGCGTTCATGAATTCACAAATTTGCAAAAGCATCTATATTCAGACGAGTAACTAAGGGCTACCATCTTCAAATAAAGAGCTAGCGCTGGCATGAATTCGAGATCATTATCTAGCAGAACAGCTAGAGACAACCTTTGAGCCTGACAGAATTCAAAGGATAACTCGAGCCGTTCGCATTCGATGGTAGTTGGCGTGCTGCTTATCCTCTTATTGCTCTGCCCCCGCGACGTTTTCAGCAGACGACTCGTGGAACTCCACATCATCTGAGTAAGCACCATCCGAAGCCTCACCTTCATCATCGCCGCTTGCCGGAGGGTTGGTGGCGCCTGCACCAGCAGGCTCTGTAAAAATGTTCACCTGCTGCCCTTCCAAAAGGAACGTCTGCAAACGGCCATGCAGTAAAGCGATTGCAGAGCGAGAATCTGGCGAGTAGCCACAACGAAGGAACTGATGCGCATCCGAGTACTGTGGCTGGTAGCTGAATTTGCACGCGCGCCACACTGCAGCCAGTTCACGACCGATGTCACCGTTCAGCAGCTGTCTGCGCAGCCACGCCTTCAGAGAACGGAAGAGACTACCAACGTCCAATGGCTGGCAGTATTTCGTGGTCTCTGCACCAATGAAAGCGACATCAATATCATGACGAATCGGAACACCAGCAGGAAAAGCGGAGACGTGCGTCGAAGCGCGGTCCAAGATGACAATCAGGTGCATATTTTGGGACTCCTCTGCAGGCAATGACATGAGGAACGCCGACCAACTCGGCTTCACGAAGTTGTTCATCCAGTCCGTCATGTCCTCTTTCTTGACTGCTCCCCAGTGAATATCATCAATAAAAGGCAGGTTGGCGTCTTCAATCGCCTGTTATTTTGGGACAAGGAGAAGCTGAGAGAGGAACGATCCAACGTGCGAAGCGCTAAAAATCTAGAGGGGCGTGAGGGTTTTACAGGTGCGCGTCACTCGGCTGCACGGCAAGCACCTCGTGCAGGAAGAAGTGGGCAAGAAAATAAGGTCACGCTCTTGTCACTCATTTCTCAGTCGTGGAGTGACATTTTCCCATAGCTATTATCAAAGAATAAAGTAATTACTTTACTCTTTGATAATAGCTATGGGAAAATGTCACTCCACGACTGAGAAATGAGTGACAAGAGCGTGACAAGAAATTTTACGACGCGCGGCTACCCACGGAGTCGTAAAAATTCTTCCGAGTGCCATAATTTTAAATCTCCTCAAGCACGACTAAATAATTTATTTTTTGTAAAAAAAATAAATATTTTTTGAGATCGTTTTTGATTCAAATACCCGCACACGGGCGGGAGGGATGAAGACAGAGTCTACCTAAAGTGCGAGTGG